CATAAAACAGGTAGCCCCGCACTGCGTATGTACTCACAGAATGGTCTATTGTGTAAATTAAACCCCATACAGCAACATGTCACGTGCTATTTTGTAATCGGCATGGGTTAACGATGTTAGGCACACGTGAGATTCAACGATAAAAGACAAAAGTTACGGAATTGTGAAACGCTGAAAATATCTTTTAGAATTAAATAGTGAGACATTCGGACATGAATAAAATCAAAGAATTGGATGTAAATAAAATCATCATCGTACAATCAGCAGGCGTGTCACGAGCACGACTACAACACTAACACACTGGTAGAACATATTCTCAAATACTTGCAAAAATAGGCCTTCACTTCTTTGCAAAACCCGGAATGAAACAAATTGTTTAATTTATCTCCTATAGATAATTCATTCTTTCAGTATGCACTTTGGCTATCCATGTAGGCATTATAAAACACATTTTGGAAAATGGTTTCAAAAGGAGGAATACTTCAGGAGAAAACCATTATCGGTAGATTTATTCACGGCCCTGAGGCATCTGAACGGCTGACCTAAATATAAATGCATTGAAACGGCAATGCTAGCCAACAGGTGTTTTTTTTTGCTGCCTGTGTGTGGTTGCCAAGGGACGCGGTTGCCATGACTCCCGAAGCAATGGTCTTTCCTCCGCGGCAGATGTTCACACTTTGCTCATGTCGCCTTGGGGCGTTGTTCGCTACCATCAACAGCAATTTGTATGATGATGGCAATTTGTCTCAATGTTGATGCCGTTTGTATTTGCCCAAACCATTACGGCTGACCAAAAGAGACATAATTCAATACGGCTACATGTAGGCCTAATAGGCCTACCGACCCATTGTATCGGGTCTTTTCCGATGAAGGAAGCCATTTCCGATCGTGTTCGAGATTATTATATTGTCCTTGTTTATCTCCTCTCTCCTGTCAAACTGTCCACCCTCCCTTCCCTCCCCCGCGACCCATTCCTTCTCGCATCCTTCAGCCTTGTCTGGTCATACTTTTTCAATTTCCAATTTTGTTAACTTTTTGATATATCTTTGCTTTGTCATTGTACTTTTGTTCATTTGTTGGCCGAATAAATAATAATAATAATTTTATGATTGGAGGGTGCGCGTGCCAAGCCTCGAATTCTTTCCTTTTTTTCTTGGCTTAAAACATTAGGCAATGTAATCACAAATGTTAATTATTCATCAGAGCAGACTGCACTGGTATTAATTTGTAACGAACTTTTATATCTTTCCTTTCATTACTATACTTGTAAGTTCCAAAATGAAAGGTTTTTCAATTTAATATGGCCGACTCGTGAATAAAGTCTAAACACATTGCATCTGTGTCATAAATCATGGCGTGATCGACGGTTTGGCTACTAAAACCATGCAGTCACCGTTTTTGGCTACAACTTAATGAAAATACACCGAACGTTAATCATGTTAAAGGATTTGATCTTCCTGAAAAGGAAAATGGACCTTTATTGAGCCGCGGCCCCGACCCCCGGTCATGGGCTAAAATCTCTTAAAGCTGCACTGGACTGGTGACGAAGCCCAAGTTTGGGGAAATCCCCGTCCCAAAAGTGTCACTTGGGGGCGCGCTTGACCACGGCGGTAAACTTCGACTTTGTTTATCGATTTCGAGAAGGTTAAGTTGGCAATGTCGGGCCTGAGTCAGTGTGATTGTCATCGAAGCATTGAGACCTGTTTGTTTTTTTGGCAGCTCCTTAAATGTGGGCACAAGACACGGAGAAAGTGAGTAACTCTAGCCCCATAAATGTGGCCAATTTACTGGACTACCTCCATGACCTCCGTAAATAAAGGCCACACTTCCACCGGTCATGCATGTCATGTACAAAAACATGTCGAACTTTGTCAAATTTTGATTTTCACATTTAGGCATATTTTGTGGCCAATTTACTGGACTACCTCCGTAAATAAAGGCCACACTTGGAACTACTCCTAGAACTATGAGGCTCCACGAGTGGAGCCTCATAGATGAAGAACCCCGCAAAATTGTTTTCAGCACAAAACACTAATTAAGTACAAAAACGTCCATCAAAATGCAGACATTTCCCGCAGAACCGCTGCACAGTTTGCCCCCAAACTCCGTACTACACCTCATGACATACTCACGTAATATGCGCAGAACAAACATTGCTGGATTTTGTAGGTTTTTCTGGCTAAAATGATGAAAAATATGCCCTTTCTGCGTTGAGCCAACCTGACACTTAAAACGTGCACGCATATGATCCAGCGATGATTTTTCGGTTCGCTCAGAGCGCGCCGCGGGGGCAGCCTCGACTCCAGAGGCGTGTGCTTGTTCCTTACACTAACCCCTGGCTGTGATGGTGACGTAAATGACACTGAATGGCTATTCACAGCGTACTGCGCGGGCATTTCAAAGATTGCACGCCGGGCGCGCCCATAATGCGCTCGCGCTCGCGTGCTTAGCTTTGCACGTAACGTCACATACGAAAAAAAAAATTATGATTCAAAAGTCGCAAAACCTGTACGATATAGATTTTGTCAGCCGCGTTTTTCACTAAAAAAAACCCTGTATCTGTGGTTGTAAAGGCACAAAAGGGGTACGTACATTTAATACAAATCTTTGCTGATTAACACAACGTCCAAACGTTGTGTTTGAAAGGATTGATTCTTCAAAATCACACCTTTTAACATTTTAAAGATGGCGTCGGCACGTAAAATGGATAAACTGCAGCCCTAGGGGTTACGATCGCGCAAGGCATGATGGGAAACAACATGGTGCTGCAAGATCGTACCCACGGGGCACGAGGTTTGCCGCGGGGGGTACGGTACTTGCACTTGTACGCATGTGCATAGTATCATTTTGCTTGTACCGTACCCCCCGTGGCGCGCTCAGAGCGAACCGAAAATCATCGCTGGATCATAATATGATCCAGCGATGATTTTCGGTTTGCTCTGAGCGCGCCACGTTTCAAGCGTCAGGTTGGCTCAGCGCGGAAAGGGCATATTTTTCATCATTTTGGCCAAAAAACGGACAAAATCCAGTGATGTTTGTTCTGCGCATATTACGTGAGTATGTCATGAGGCGTAGTACGGAGTTAGGGGGCAATCTGTGCAGCGGTTCTGTGGGAAATGTCTGCATTTTGATGGACGTTTTTGTACTTAAGTAGTGTTTTGTGCTGAAAACAATTTTGCGGGGTTCTTCATCTATGAGGCTCCACGTAGTGGAGCCTCATAGTTCTAGAAGTAACTTGGAACATGTACCTGAAAATGTAGAACTTGTCAAATTTGGATTTTCACATTTAGGCTTTTATTTGTAGTTTATTTACACTTTAGAAGCATAATCACCCTCTTTACAGCGATAGTAAATTTTTCCCCTCTTTTTCAGACATCTACTTTTCGTGTAATTTCGTGTTGGAATTTAGATACCCAGACGTATACAAACGAACCTGGAAGGAAATTACCTGAAATATAAATATCTCAAAAAGGGGGGATAAATTTTCTATCGCTATAAAGAGGATGAGTATGCTTCTAAAGCGTAATAAAACTACAAATAAAGCGTAAATGTGAAAATTTGACAAAGTTCTACGTGTTCGGGTACATGTTCCAAGTGTGGCCTTTATTTACGGAGGTAGTCCAGTAAATTGGCCACATTTATGGGGCTAGGTCGGGTGATGGTCTACTATCGCCCGACCTACCCCTAGTAGAACTATGGGTCTTACATGTGGATAGGCATATCAACGCGAACATGCTGTATACTCTACGAATATTATGGTTATTATAGAAATGAGTTTTGGAGCGGCCACTGTATATTTGTACCCAAAGACTATGCCCAGTACTTCTTGACAAACTCACGTTCATTTCGCTAACAAGTATAAGGGTTGAATCGATCCCGATGGTGCAAAAAAATGATGAAAACAGTTCCCTTTCCGTACCACAGCTACAGTTTGAGTTTTAACGTTTCAACGTGCACGTCGCATGCGATGCACATTGTTGGCGTGAATCTTTTGGTCTGGGAACCGACCACAGACACCGTCTTTAAAGTGCATATCTCGGGCAGCGTCAGACGGACCAATCAATTCTGAGTAGGCCCCCTAGTGGATCATACCAAAGAAAAACAAATTATGAGTTATGACATTAAAATTAGGCCGAATTAAAGCTTTAGTCCATCATTTGTAATTAGTGCATTTTGTTCGTTTGAAGCAACAAAAGTGTTCAAAATCTAATGAAGGATACTGAGCAACTAACCTGATGAAGTTTCAGCTAAGCTTCAGCTGTACATTCCGAGAAAAGCAGCATTCTAAGATCTCAATTTCAAATCAAAAGTTACTGAATCATGTTTTGAAAAAGGAAGCGGGCGGGGACGAGAAACATGTTTTTTTTACTTCGCCTTATGTAAACAAATGGCGATTAATTTGTAGGGTCCATATTAGTTATTACTAGTAGGACTATATTTGTCAGACTAGCAAAAGTATATCGTCAAAAAACCTGATAATTGTATAACACCGACTAGCTTGATAACTCCAGCTGACATGCTCATCAGGAATTTGTGATGAGCATGTTAGCTGGAGCTACTCGAGCTAAAAACTGACTTGAGTCAAAGATACTTGTAGAATTAGAAGGCCACACATGAGGCCTTCTAATTCTAGAAGTAAAAAGAATGATGATGTCATTCATGACAGATGAAGATGAAATTTTGAAATTTGAAAATGGATGTCAAATACAAGGATATACAAAATGTTCTGGAATTTTAAGACCGTTTTTTATTTTATTTGTATGTTTAAAAGTTTTTTTATAGGTATTAATTTAAAACATTCATTTTTAAGGTCTTTTTCTGGACTAGGCCTATCTTTTTTGAGGGAGGGGGGTTTACACATGTGTTGGAGGTATGCTGCATTGCATGGTGGACATGCTCAGAGCTGCGTGGAATTATCATGCAGACAGTGGATAGGCCACTGGAACCTGTAGATGAAATTTAATCTGATTAATTTGTTTTCATGTTTTGTTTGAATGCAGAATGTGCGAGTTCCCCTTGTGTCAATGGATTGTGCTCTGATGGCGACTACGGCTTTTACACCTGCCTGTGCAATCAAGGCTACGAAGGCGTCAACTGTGATATACTAAATGGCCAATCCCGTAAGCAAAACAAATGTTAACTCTCAATCCCCTAGTCTGAATATTACAGAATGCTGAGTCCAGCAGTAACCAGTAGCAATAGTACTAATGGTGTGACATTACATGTGCGCTTTCCTATGAGAGCCAGATGGAACATGTGGCTCTAATAGGGAAGCCCAAATGTAAACAAAGTGTGATGTCAAATCTTAGGACTATTGAAGACTAATTGTGAAGACTTGTTCAGTGTTTTTTTGTGAAGACATGTGCTACATTAATCTATTATAACAAAGAATATTTATCTGTTTTCTTTTAAATTGACATGAAAGTGACTGTTAATGGTCAACAGTAAAGTTGAGTATGGTGTGGTGCGGTGGTCCTATGTAGACAAATGTGCCTCATTTGGAAAAGAAAAAAGTATAAAACCTAATATCAATATCACAATGAATCAAAGACCTTCATTTGAAAACATGTTGATCATGTTCATAGCTGTATTGTATACGAAGAGTTTGGAATTGAACGCTTTAAAGAGTACTTGCAGCTCTGGCTGGGTTATGTTGGCCGTCCAATTAAGTTTCTTTCGTGTATCTTGTATTTAAATGCGTACTTTAAAAATGTAAACGGGTCCCCATTGCACTTTGTCTTGATACGAATATTGTGAATTTTCTGAATTCTTCTATTTTCTTATTTTTGTTTGTGCTGCTGAAATCCTGATCCAATGTACAGGTTGATTCATACTTGCAAAGCAAAAATGAATAACATGTAAACATTGGAAGACATTTTCTACAAATTGTGCCCAAATTCAAATGAAATCTTTTGCAAATTAGACCGATGAAGGGAAGTCTCCAAATTCATATTGAAGTAGCCTTTTAATATTCAATAAGAAAAATAGAGCCACTGATTTTTTGTTTCACTGGAAAATAGAATAAAATTAATAACAAAATTAACTCTCTGAATGAGAATTCAGCTTTCGGGGGGCAAAACATATATCGTGTGTGCACAAATAGAAACATACTTTCAATTTCCAACATGTCCAAACACACTTACAATTCAACAAAAATGTAACAATTTTTGCAAAGGTTTATTTTTGAATTCTTTGCAAAAAAGAAAATTTGTTCATTTTTCAGTGGACATCCACTACATGACACACATAAAGTGGGAAACAGATTTTCTTCCACAGTTTTCTGGTTGAAACAGAATTAATGATTTCATGCAATGGAAAAGCAACATCTTTGATAAGGGAGAATCAGTGGCCCTAAAAGAGGTTTCTGTATAAAAACAAAGACAAATCACTTTCCATTTTTTTCTGTTTTCCGTAACAATAGTCAATAGTTCCTGTGGGATGTCCTATTCTGCGACCACGGGCATTATTGAGAGTCCAAACTACCCAAGCAGGTATGGCAGGGAACTGTACTGCTTGTACCAGATCCGGCCCCACGGCGCCAATGAAATTCTTGTAAACATCACCAACTTTAACCTGGAAAACAGGAAGGACTACCTTTATGTTGGTGTTGGCTATGTTGCTGATATGAGCCAAGCTGACTGGACACTTACAAGTGATCTGACCAGTCAGCTGCCTCAGTCCAGACTCTACATTGCTAGGTCCGTCTGGCTTCTGTTCACCTCAGATTTCAATGTCCAGAGGTCAGGGTTCCGTCTGGAGTATAGTGCTGGTGAGTTTCATTCATAACAATGTTTCCGATCGCCAAAATTCCAATGCGTGAAAGATTGTACACTGAAATCTCAATACGTCAAACTATGATAATTCAAAAAATTTTTTAGTCAAACAAAGATTCCATTGCCTTTTAGTAGTATGACGTACCGTGCTTAACTCAAACAAACTTAACTCAAATTTTGAACCTGTTCTCTTGAGGTTTGACTTATCAAATTTCACTGCATATCACTTTTGTTGAAAGTTGGATGGTATTGAATTCTACAACGATTGTGTTTATTGAGGGCACTCTAACCTCAGTGGAGACCCTTGCATGTTCACTGATGATAATGTGTCCTACTTGTGTTACTGCGCATGTTGTCACACTGCTTTAACTAATGTTGAAGCCGTCTTGATCAAAGCTCATGAAAAATACTACACATTTTGGTCTTTTAGATATTCCTGGATTAGTGCTGTGCATTTTGTAATAACCTAGTACTTGATTATTGGAACTTAAATTTGATCGAATATTCAAATATTGGAACATTGATAATTGAGGTTAAAACTTTTAATGAATACCGTGAAACGATATGTTTTTATTCGGAGATAGCTGACTACCTGATGTACAGATAGAAAATTGTGGTGTAAAGTGGCATCTTTTTTTTGCAATCAGCTCGAGATTGCTCAATTTTTTTGCCAAGTATTCTGTTCAGAGGATGGTACAATATTCTGAATTAGAAGGACCATATTGAACCAGAGTCCCAAAAGTCAGACATCTCCTGAAGACAAAGCCTGAGGGCTCATAATTTGTTTTATACAATGACTGATGTTACAGTACCAGTAAAATGGGGCCAAAAATAATAAATGGAATGCTATTAGTTCCTAAATTTATGCTCATATTGCCTAAGAATCATAGATTTCCAAATTTCACCGGGCATGTCCCTGGACCCCCTGGCAGAGGCCTTTGGCACGCCGTTTCTCAGCCTCGCCTTCATATCTCCCCTTTCCCCGAAAGCTAGATCCACCCCTTCCAAAGTCTGGGACATTCAAATTTGTATGCATAATTTTGATTAATTAAAGAACTCGGGCTATTGGAAAATTTAATTTATCTAGCACTTAGCACCTTGCAAAATAAAATAAACATCTCAATCAGTGATTTTTTTGTGATGTTTTTTTTGTTTACTGTGTTAATTCTAGATGGTGATGATTGTTACAACTCTCCCTGTCTGAACGGTGCAACATGCACTGATTCAGTGCGGTCCTTTACTTGCACCTGTGCCCTGGGATTCAGTGGCACACAGTGTGAGATTGGTAAGTAAGATGTTCGCCAATTACATACATTTAAACTTTGTGATAAAAAAAAAGGAAACAACAATGTACTGTTTAATTTCGCACATTGGACACTGTACAATAACGAATGTTCATGAGTGCAATGGTAAGAATAATATCATGAGGTGAGTGATGGAATGTAACATTTCACCTATTGCCAAAGAAATTACTCTTTCCATTGCACGAATGTGAAACACTCGTAATTTGTTTTATACAATGCCTGACTAACTCCTTGTCATCTTATTGATACTTTGTAAACTGTACTATGAATGTACTGCATCAGAGCTGTGTTATGACGCAACCAATAATGTGACCATGCAAGTAAGTTTTATTTACCGTGGGAGTGGACCTTATATTTTGACGACACGATCGCGCTGTGTATTGTGACAAATAATTCAATGACACGTGATCAACGACCCACCAATTAGATGATGGAGATTTATTCAGGTGTTGAATAAATGTTATAATAATGTCATTGGGTTTTTGTTTTTTGTTAATCTGGTTTATAAAAACATTGCCTTTGTAACCCTGAGGCGTAAATGCAACAGTACCGGTATTTACAGTTAGAACAAAACATAAAACATGGAAATACAATATGAGTTATTAAAATAAATGCAAGAATGAGGGCAATCACAAGCTAAAGTATCGTGCTGTATTTCGTGCATATTCTCCTAAAAAGAAAGTTTAATGCAGATTTGCTTTCTAATGCTTATTTTCATTGTTTTTTCATCACTTTGTTCATTTTTGATCCCAGAGGGTAATTGTTTATCAATTTTGATATTGTTGTCAATGACAGACAATGACGACTGCACTCCTAATCCGTGTCTGAATGGAGCCATGTGTGATGACCGAGTCAATGATTACACCTGCCGATGTGCAGATGGCTGGATTGGCAGGAATTGTGAAACCAGTAAGTAGATAACCCCCTGTCTTGAAATGGACTGTTCCTCCATTTTAAGACATACTTGCCCCCCCCCCTCCACCCTACACTTAAACATGGAGTGGCCCCAGCATCAGTTTCTTTGTTTAGAATGGTGACATAACAAATGGAATAATACAACAAAATAAACAATTGTATTGCCACTGCCTGCAGCAGCCCTTGCTTTATCAGATTTTGATTAGCTTCCTGATCGATCAGCAAGCTAGGGTGTCAAGTGGCAAGACCTCTGCTCTAGTAAGTGAGAGCTCGTGGGTTCGAGTCCCACCGGAGTAAGCTTGTGATATTTTTCTTGCAAGCCCTCAGATAACACTTAGAATACAGTTTTATGAAATCGCGCCTGTGAATCAGGGCAAAACCCATTATTGAATAATCGTTTACATGTATTCAGCCATTTCAAAACAGAAATATAAGTACAAACAAATCCTGAATAATAGTGATGAACATTAAACATGCACATCAACCCTGTGAAATTGTCCATTTTGTAGACCTTTAGACCAGCACCCGATTTCACGAAGCGCTGCGACGCGTCGCAACTCGAGTTACGACGTGTAACACGTCGCAACTCGCGACGCGTCGTATCTTCCATTTCACGAAAGTTGCGATGTGTTGAACGCGTCGTAAGTTCCTTGACAACGGCTTAAAACACGTCGCAAGTTAAGACGTGTCTAGTGGTCGTCGCAAAATAAGAAGAGTAATTTCTAAGCCAGTTTTATGCCATAAACATTACATTAACGAGACTATAATACCGAGGCAATGTGTGTAAAGTTGTAAATAGAAAATTCATTGAATAATTATGAATTAGACCGGAATATTAGAATTGAAATTTCAAAGTAGCTATACAGTCCAATGAGAGTTTGTTTTCCTTCAAAATTGCATCGCACGGCCGCCATTTTGTTTTACGTTTTAACCAATTTCGAGCTGAGATCCGACGACTCTTTGTTGAATATCAGACGACTATTTACTGTACGCTGACTAAATACATAAAACAGTCACCGAGTTGTGCTATAAATACACCTACGATGCGTCGCACTTACGACGTGTTTTGTGAAATGGATCGCAGGACGCGTCGCAATTGCGACGCATCGTAGAGATATGACGCGTCGCATCGCTGCGATGCATCGTAAGTTACGAAGAGTTTGATGAAATCGGGTGCAGGCACCCAATAGCTGTACACTGACAAAAGCACCAAGTTGTGGAAAAAGCATTAAGCCAGCTCTTGACTCCTTGCACAAACAGTTGATGACGCTTTGTGACCATTTGTGACCAGTGGGTGAGACACACAGCGTGTTCGCACTGGTTTGTACACGTGTGGCATGAAGTGTGCACAACTAATCTTATTCTCAGAGATGAAACTTTTCCGATTTTAATCGGAAATCTGACTTTTGGAATTTTCCAATGAAATTTCCGATTTGGTTACAATGTGTCCCACAAAATATGATTTTGTGTCACGATATCATTTATTTTAATCATAATTTCGAAGAAAAGTCGATGAAAAGTCGATGGAGATGGCATGTTAAAATCATCGCGAACGTAGTTTTAATCTCTTTCACCAGTCGTTATTGGAGTGTTTCAGTGGTAGAAACACAGGCCAACACTGAAAGGAGCCTTTTCCGGCTGGACAAAAGGTAAAACATTGACATGTGGCATGGAAAAATCACTGTGTCGCACGGTAATACAGTGTGACGCGTGCATGTACAGCACATGATGATATGCAATGGTACCAGCGTACGTACCGCACCGTCTGCTAGCACATGGCCGGTTGGGAACGGGTAGCCTCGTGAATGATCCAGTGGATAAAATCCATTATGTTGTGTGATTTTCGGAGGTTTCAGATTTACTTGTACAAAATGCAATGCTTTAAAAATCATGATGATTATCTCGAGGATAGCGAAGAGAGCATAAGCGAAACATTTCGCTGACATTTGTTGGAAGAGAAAGAAGATAATGCCTGATTTTTCCCTACGATATGAAAGTGGAGTAGTGGAGTTGTGTGGTTGAATCACGGACATGATTGAAGCATTGAATCACCATGAATGGTGCCCTTGTCTTTCGGACTTTTTCCTCGACGTTCTCAAGTAAGAAGTGAACTTCTTTGTTGATGACTCCATTACTCTAACCGTAATTCAGGCGTTTTATGCCATGAAACAAAATTTTGTTTGAATTGAAATTAAAGCAGGAGTCAGTGTCCAGAAATTGGACTTGAAATGTATTGTACATGCATGTACATGTACAATTGTATATGTGACTGCAGCGCGGCCCAGATTTCGGTCACATATTTTTGTTATTTTATATTTTCCGATTTTGTTGCCATATGCCAGTTTCATCTCTGTATTCTGAGTGTGCGCAAAGCAGCTGCATCTTCCCGTGAGTGTCAGGCGCTGACCGTAATGCAGTGGTCTCCCCAAACTCTCTCTTTGTAACCGTTGAGGATGTACTTGTGCGAGGAGGCCATTGTACAAAGCTAATGCCGCTTGACAATTAATTCTGAACATTAACTTGCACAGTGCTTCTGAAGTGCACCTGAATTGTTCTAACCAGTACAGACAAGTACATGTATGTATTAAACATGAGATTCCTGTGGATATTTTGTCACAGATATTGATGAGTGTTCCAGCTCGCCATGTCAAAATGGCGGTGTCTGTTCAGACGCAGTGAATGGGTATGCCTGTAGGTGCCTACCTGGTTTCCTCGGTGAACAGTGCCAAACAGGTTTGTATATGCCTACTTCTGCATCTGACAATCTGTTTGTCGGTGTGCCTGTTGATGTTTGTCTTGTCCCCCATTCTCCCCCTTTACATGATGCTTAGGCCTGGGCCCAATTTATGCCTCTGCTTACCAAAAGCTAAAAATCTGAGCTTACTACAGGGTGTCTCACAAAAAAACCGAACCCTCAAAGCGTCCTCTTTGTTACAGCGTTAAAAAAAATTCATCGCAAATATCTATACATATTTAGAGAGTATAGTCCATTAGCTTTTCAACAAGGAAAACATCTTTCAGGTAAACATTTATTTAGTTGTGGCCAATTTAAATAAGTGCCGATTTTTCAATCTGTCCACGGTCTCAATTGTCATTTGGTAGGAATGTAATAGATTTGGGGTGAGGGTAGTTTTGCTCTCTTTAATGTTTTAATCTCTCTTCATTTATTCTGATCATTTTATTTTAAATTTTTTTGCAAAAGTGGCCAATTATCCTTTTTGAAGTAATGGTAGTCCTAAAAAGAACTGTTTGATTAACTTCTTAGATGTCTTCATCTTCATTTAAGTACATGGCAACAGGCCAAACTTGGCCCATGACGCCATGGGGTGCAGAGTGTGCAGAGTAAAGATGTCCACTTTATTGCTCTGTCTCTGCCCTCGACTTGGTAGCCCTTTTTCAAAAATGCAAGTTTTGGTCCTTGTGTCTTATTGTGGCAGTCAAAATAGTAGTCGCCGTGGACAAAATGAAGAAGCGTTACATGTTGTCAATTGGCCATAACTCAATAAATATTTACCTCATTGGAAAGATTATTAAATTGTTGAAAAGTTAATGGACTATACTGTCTAAAAGATACTTGCAATGCATTTTTTAAAGCTGTTAAAAAGAGGACACTTTGAAGGTTCATTTTTCTTGTGAGACACCCTGTATAGTGACAATATTGTGTAATTCACGGGTCAGCAAGGAATGTTGGCTTTTGCCCACGTATTCTGCAACTAAAGATTCTTGCTAACAAGCTCAGCACAGAATGTCTGAGCTAGTGCAGTCAACACAGAATGGTGTAAATGGCAGGGGCACAATTTGGTGGTAGAAGCAGAGCCTAGAAATGTGCTCCTGTTAGAAGTATTTTACTTCTTGGGATATGTAATTATTTGTTATAGTTTTTTCTCTGTAAAATTGACAAATTCTCTGGATAGTGGTCAACAAAGAAATAGTCCATATTTAGAAGATAGGAGGAAATACAGACACATGATTTGGGAAATAAAGTAAGTAGTTGGGAAAACTGGGGGGAAGTCCACTGTCGGGGTAAAGACCATTATCATGTTGCGGCCATCTTGATTTTTTCCCATTCAAATCGACGTAACCTAAAAATGTGGCTGGAAGGAAAAATAGTCTGGTTTCTTTTTGCACAAAACAAAAAAATTATCAATCAGTACTGTTATTGGATTCAGGGAACATGACTGAAATGGTGGCTGCGTGATAAAGGTCTATTGAGTGGGTTGAACATTACAATGAAAGATCTGGTCACAGTTTCTTTGCTCTTGTCTTAAAAAAAAAAAATCTTGAGAATTCTTCTTTTCTACCCATTTGTCTTTCGCTTTAGATTTTGATGAGTGTTCCAGTTCACCGTGCCGCAATGATGGGACATGCAGAGATCAAGTCAATGGTTATAATTGTACCTGTGCTGCTGGCTGGGAAGGACCTATGTGTAACATCAGTGAGTTCGACTGAGGCGATAATAGTGTGATGGAGCAATTAGAAACTTGTGGTTTAAAACCAGTTAGGGGCCTGACTGCAGATAATGGCCTGAACTGAAGGCAAGGACTTTAACTGGCAATCAGGCCCCTAACTGATTTTGAAAATGACGTTTATAACTGCTCCATCTAGCTATTATCCACATTATAAAATACCTTTTTCAATCAAAAGCCACAAAAAGTAAAAAAAAAATGGACGAACTGGCAACATCTTGTTTTACATTGTGTACCAACACAAACAAGGCAATTATTCATAAGATGGGGTTTTTTTTTGGGGGGGGGGGGTTTGCACCGGGGTGATGTAAATTAAATTAACTCGGGTGAAAAAAACCACTCGGGTGGGACTCTTAAATTAAAAAAAAAAAAAATCCCATCTTATGATTAGTTGATGCGGTACCCGCTGCTGTGTACATCCGATTTGAACCAGCCAACTGATCCTGTTAGCCGGGTGATAGAGTGGTAAGACATCTGCACTAGAAAGCAGGAAGTCGTGGGCTCGAGTCCCACCTGAGTGATTTTTTCCTGACTTTCACTTGGTAGGTAACTGAGTATACAGTGTTTATAGGTTGGTGAAGGGCATAACCTAATTTGATTTACATCACCCCGATACAAAAAAAAAGGCCCATCATGTTGATGCCCCCTACCCATTACGGTATTGCATTACTATTAATGACATAAGCTGAGGCTATTCGCAACATACCTTTAAAGACTTGGCCATGAGTTATGAACATTCAATTAATCTTTTTGAATTAATGATGATTGTAGATTGTAAAGGATCCAATTCAACACCCATTTACATCATTGCAAAATGGATGGGTTGGCCTTCATAGTTTGATACAATTCTCCTATTTTTTTCAACAGATATCGATGAGTGCGTCTCCAATCCTTGTCAGAATTCAGGATTTTGCCGTGACGGTATGAATGGCTTCACTTGCACATGTGCGTCTGGCTATACAGGAACCCTCTGTGATAGTGGTAAGGGAACCTTTCTGCATTTTGGATCAGGAGCAATCATTTTTGCTCACGGAGGGACAATTCCTCTACAATTTGAGGCAATTTCAAATTTGGCCCAGACATTTCTTTAAAAATCTGCTGAATTTCTGCCAAAAAGTGGTTTTGATTACAGTTGATTGAATAAAAGCAAATTGAACCTGTGCTGCATGTTACACCATTTATTTAAAAGTTACTTCCTCGGGATTATCTGAATTTCATCGCAAAATGGAATGAAATATCAGTCTGTTTTAAGGACTCCTATAAATAGACAATGTATGTACATATTTTTAGTAAGTGTAGTTGTTTATATTGTATTTCTGTGTTTTGTTCTTGAAGACATTGATGAGTGTGGCAGCAACCCATGCCAGAATGGAGGAACTTGCAGTGACAGGGTCAACTCATACCAGTGTACATGCGCACCAGGCTGGGTGGGGGAAAACTGTCAAACCAGTAAGTGTCAACTACACAAAACACCTCTTGTATTACTTTAAGAGTCCGTAAATGTATGATCTGTCTGAGAGGAGTATTTGTTTTTCCAATTTAGGTTGTTGAAGAAACAGAATCAAAATGTACATGTATGATGTAGCTTCTCATGAGAGCTCCAGTGTTTGGGACGTGATGTGTACAAACAAAGTCTTGCAAATTATGTTTTTGTTTCCCTTCTTGTGTTCTTTGCTTCTATTTAAAATCTTAAACTCCATAACATTTTCCTTATGGGACACCCAAAAAGATTATAGAAACCCAGCTTTTAAGTGACCCCCAAGTGTGTGTGGAGTGCAGCCTGCCATATATTCAAGATGGAAGCCGCCATATTAACAAGTACCAAGTGGTACAACCCACAGCGGTTCCACGAACAGTACTACCGCGAATTTTGCAGTGCAATTTGGCCTAATATGCAAATTAGACGCATGCGCATCAGTGTCACAAAGCTGTAGGTATTCCATAGAAACTCACTGGCCAAGCTGCGATACACACGTAGCATGGAACAGTATAACACACCCTGAATAAACTGTCCACCAACCAACCAACCCACCCACCCACCCACCTACCAACCGACCAACATAAGCAGCTCAAGCCCACACTGTGTTTCACATCGCCGTGGGAAAAAGCCAAATTAAAAGAAGGGAAAACTATAATGATCTTTTTACGAAAATAATGTAAATCCCGGAATAGCTATAAAAATTGTCAAAGACAAGCCCACTCTATGTTTGAGAATTTTTTTTTTTTATCAGTACTACTCCGCTGAATGAGCTTTTTAAATTTTATACAAAAAAATTAATGCAAACTGCAGTAAGGTTGCAATCTTTGTTCGTGATGTGTTCATTCAGTTTCAATTTTTCATTCCAAACCCTGTTCTTAAATTTTCTCCGTTCCTAGGTCTCATTTTGGGGGGGGGGAGAACCTCAATTGTTGTAGTCTGAAATCTCTACTCTTGCAAAACAATGTAGTCGTAAAGAGTACAGCGTGCGAAACAGTACCACCAAGAGGCAGGATTGTACAAACAAATGCAATTGCCATCACACAGTGACATTCATGTACCTATCATCTTTCCTTCTCCTAAGTTTTTAAGATTTTATTTCCCTACTGAAAATAAATAGATGCAAAGAGTTTCTTACACAATTTGTTTGATGGTGATTTTAATTTTGCTTTTGTTTCCAGACTTTCAAGAGTGTGCCACGATTCCATGCAGGAACGGTGGAACGTGTGAAGATGGTGTCAACACGTATAGGTGCGTGTGCCGAGCGGGATACACTGGCCAAAACTGCGAACAGAGTAAGTGCATTATATCGCGGCAGATTATTTTATTTATTTATTTTATTTATTTTATTTATTTCTGGTAATAAAACCGAGGATTCTTCAAAAGTGCCCTAGACACTGTAGCCTGAAAGCCTGACGAAAAGTGTAGAGAGGAGACAATCAGAAGAAATTACAGTTTTAAAGGTGGGAGGAAAAGCCCAGAAGAATATTCTGGGGAAAACCCACGAAATCGGGTAGGGACTGAAAACCCAATCCACATGTTGGCCCAGGCGGGATTCGAACCCGGGTCATAGCCGTGGAAGGCGGGGAAAGTACTACTACGCCAACCTGACTCCCCAAGATTCAAGACTGAAGAAATTTTGGAAAAATCCACTTCAGCTCCAAGTCTTCAATTCATAAAATGACAATTGCTAATGTCTGTGGCTGCAGAGTCATTTGGCCAGGGATCTGATGTCATAACGACAAAGTCTGTATCTGAAGCTTAGTTTTATCCTGTGGCATCAGAGCGTTGCCAATTATAAAAATTGCATGAATTCAACTAATTGATCCTGCAAAGTAATCAAAATAGACTTTTTAATTGCTTACTTTTTATTTGCATTGCTAAGAGCATGTCCAGCTTTTTAATTGAATACAGCACTCATTTACACATCTTATGAATATGGACATTTTTTACTATTGTAGGTAAAAAATACAATAGTTCGCAGGGCTTGTTTTCCGATTATTTCTGTCGTCCTAATGTTCATTTTTGTGGGATTGGGCCACTAATGAAATGATTCCGTGCCAATTATTTGTATGATTACAGATATCAATGACTGTGCCCCTAACCCCTGCATTAATGGCGGTGCCTGCTCCGATGGTGTCAACAGCTACAGATGCACCTGTGCTCCTGGGTTTGAGGGAGATCAGTGCCAGGATAGTATGTACAATTTGTCTCTTTCCATTAAGCACTGCCTATATCAGAATGTTCAATAGTCGATATATCGGAAATCCAATATCAACAATATTAGGTATATCGATTATCCCATGTAAAAATTAAAGACCGTTAAGATTATACTTTGATTTAAAAAAAACAAAATGTAAGGCCCCAATTTTCCACGGCTTTTGCTGGAGCATATTGCTCAATCTTTATAAAACATATCTCAGCACTGAGAGATTGTCCAGAACGGATGTTTTATTTAATAGTTTTACATTGGGAGAGACTGCGAATTTCAGCGAATGCAGAGCACAAAGCGACGCCGCTAGGCATTTCACAATGTTTTTGCTTTGATTCACAAGCACAAGTTGCCGCAGAGTTTTATTTTCATTCATACACAAAAACATTCAAATTGAATTGCTTGTGATACATATCGTAGTAACTTCTGACTTCAATCCTTGTGCAAAAGGAAAACAGGTTGACAAACACAAGTCTCCTTAACCTTTTGGTTGTACAATCTGCTATAAATCACTCTACATGGACATGTTGGCCACAACTTTTATGATTCCTGCTATATTTTGTATACAAAGTAGAAAAACTTAAGCAAATTTTGTGTCTAGCTCCTCCCGCTTCTATCCACAGGAAGTATGTTTCTACTTGTTTCAACAGTGTTTCATTCTTTAGGATCACATGCATCTGCAGCATTCAGTAGTAAAGAGAAATTGAATACATTTGTATAAAAGAATGTATGCAAAGTAGAAACACTAAATCCAAACAATACGATTTGATTCTTGGGCAAAAAGGCCATTACTTACCTAGTAGTGCCTTTACTCTACCAAAGTGCCCTGCCTGTTACTCCACATACTGCCCCAAATCACCCTAGTACTCTCTGGATGTTTGGATTCATCAAGAAGTAAATACAGTGTAGTACAATGTTATTATGGATTAAAGTAATTTGTTAAAATCTTGCTTATCTGTATAAACTCTGTGGTAATGTTGTGCTTCCGGTTGGGTTGACCAGGCAAAACTGACCTGAAACACAGATTATAAACTGAATCTGAACTGAAACCTATCTGAACTCCCCAAGTCTGACCCGACCTTACAAAAATTCAAGCAAAAACTTACCCGAACTGACCCGAAATCGAACCGATCAGAAAACCCCAAAAATATCTTGCTTGGGCAACTGTGTCAGCTTTTCGTGCCTGAACACCTCATTAGACACCGCGTCACTTGGAAATCATCATCTCTCAGAGAAGAATCCTATCATACGGTAAGGTGAAGACTCTTCCCGTTACCTACTGGTGGGCCTACACATTATACATGTAGACGGTGCGCGATGGACCGCAAACCACATGTACATTCTCACGGTGGGTTGTTGTTGGTCATACCGGGCACATCAACTTGCCGAAAAAAATTGCACCGTGTGAATTTGCGAACAGTTTCTTTTTTTTTTCCAGTTATTTCTTGTTTTTCACAAGTTTACTTAACTGACCCGATTTGAAAATTGCAAATGGAAAATCAACCCGACTGAAATGAGTGGAAACTGACTGAAGCTGACCCAAAGTCTGTTTCTGGTTGGCTTTGCACAACATTACTCTGGACATCTGTCGATTGTTTCCGGGAATCTTACTGGTCTGTCTAACACTAGGGGTAAATAATCACAAGTGTGCTCTGATATACAGTCGAGTCTCGTTAATACAAACTCGTTCGGACCTAAGCAAATTGTTTGTTAGAGGAACATCAGTCCCATTCATTGTGCACATAAATGCACAGTTGGGACCAGGCTTTATGTTTGTTATAACCAGAATTTTGTATTAACAGAGTTTATACTAACGAGAGTTGACTGTAAATGTTTACAAACACTTTTTCTGTTGTGAATTGCTTCAGATATCAATGAATGCATTGGCAACCCTTGCGGTAATGGTGGTACATGTATAGATGGAGACAACAGCTTCAGCTGTATGTGCGCTGATGGGTTTGAGGGAATTCGCTGTCAGATGAGTAAGTCAGTTTGATAAGAAAAAACGATTATGAAAAAACATTAAAATGATTTTTCCTTCTAATTTTCGTTTAAGTACTAAACCATAAAACATGAACAAAAATTTGTATTCAATATTCTAGTTTTTATCATTTATAAATACCTAAGACAGTTTACACATTTAGTCGAGTGCCTATCACGTGGGTGGTTTTAAATAGTTGATAAAACACTGACTGCGTTTAAACACTTTTATCCGCTGTCATATGAAATTTGGACTCCTATGAAATCTTGTCCCTTTTACCCGTTTATTGGTTGAACCCCCACACGTGACCAGTCACTCCTAATTATCTTTACTTAGGCATGCGCAATACTACCAATGATTCCGTATTTCATAGAGTCCTAAATTCACACTACACCGGCACCGCTGCGTTCTGCGCCACATCATGTGCAAGCCCCAATGTCCATGTAAGGAGATTTGTAGTACGACTTGCGCGAGGCACATACCACGATCATAGTTAGACGTGAAATATTTAATGGATGAACAAAAACATTTTAGAAGGAAAGATTTCCATATACGAAGTTCACTAATTTTCCTCTGTATTGACTAACAAGCCCCCAGATAGCAATTTCATGTCATCAAAGTCAATTTGAGCAGTGAGAAAATACAAGCATTTTCTTAGAAAACACTTAGAATTTTTCAGTCCAATCTCATTGGGTTTGTACACAGGATGTTGAGTGAACTTCGTATATGGAAATCTTTCCCATTTGAAATTTATAAGTTTTTTACTTGTTTTGACTTTTTGACTGAAAGTTATTTATGATTGAGAATAACAAATATGTGCTTGGCTGGTATTAAACGAAACCAGACTAGGAGAAGATAACGGCCGAGCTGAATCCTCGTCCAGGGCCCTAGCCAGTTTTATACATACTTGTTTAATAAACATAGGCCTACTTCTTAAAACCGGCTAAGCACATATTTATTCCCTTATTAATCAATAGGGCATTTTTCTACATCAATTTCGGTTAACCTAGAAAAATTATTTGGACTGTCTCATTAAACTTTTCATGTAGGGGATTACTACATATTTTCTCCATTCCACAGATATTGATGAATGTTCCCCTGATCCGTGTATGAATGGTGGCACATGCATTGATCAAGTCAATGGATACGCTTGTCAGTGTTCTCGTGGATATACTGGAGATCATTGTGAAATTGGTGAGTTAACTGCCCAAGGACTGTCCCAAATATACCAAATATACAAATTGATCATCAACCGAATATTCAAATAGCTTTTTGCTGGTTTGAATATTAAAAAAAAAACTATGCACGTACACACATGACTGGTCTTAGTTTAATCGTAAATTTGCGCCGCAAATAAGGATACTAAGTACTACTGCATAGCGAACAAGGATGCTAAAAAGTACTTTTCTGAACATAATAATGTATTAAATGAAATATTTAGTTTAATAAGTCTATACTTTGCAACTCGCGGAGAGTTAAGTCATTTTTCTTAGGATATAGAAACACTCTTTGTTGTACTGCTTCATACATTAGGATGAGCCAATGTGTTTCTGCATCTGACTGTTAACAATTCTGTTATTAAACAGATATCAATGAGTGCGACAGTGATCCATGTGCGAATGGTGGAACTTGCAACGATCTTCCCAACATGTACACGTGTGTTTGCCTGTCTGGATTAACAGGGCCTCGCTGTCAAACAAGTAAGCGGGATTATTTGGCAATAAAGTAACTAAACTTTAGGATTGGAATTGTGTGACATGATATGTTAGTTTATTGTCACTTTCAGTTAGTGTGTAATTAAATGTAACCATGTTGTCAAAAAAAAAGTTTTGAAAATTTGCCAAAGTATTTGAAGAATACTGGTGAAATGCACAGTACTTTTGGTAACAAATATTGTTTTGCAAGATTATGATTGATTTTGTTGTACATTTCATATTTGACTGACTTTTAGGTATGATTGGAAGCTTTGCATGGATACCAAAAGAGACTATTTACACCATGCTATCTCAATATCGCAATTTTCAGCTAATAGGCCTAATTAAACAAATTTGAAAACGTGAATATAGGCCTACTGCTTTTTTATTCTTTGTGCACATACACAGAACTTTTATGGTATTTAGTGCTTAAATTTGATCCATGGAATGAATTGCCTTAACCCTAACCTTCCCAAATCAACCAAATCCTCTTAACAAAATGGAAGTTTTGCAGGATTGAGGCTGTATGGCAAAAATGTGTGGCTGATTTTGGAGGATGCACTGTGTCCAGGTCTTAGGCCAGACCTTGTGTTGTTTATGCTCAGCCATGCATGCATTTAGGCCTAGATTATACTTGAAATCCTCTGCACTGCTCCAGGATGGCACTGGCTCTGCCTCAACGATTGCCAGTGATTGCTGGAGGATTTTGCAGGATTGAGGCAGTGGTCACCCCACTAAGGACCACATTAAATAAATAACGAATGGTTTTGGAGGATTGAGGCTGTATGCCATTTTTGCATGGAGGCAGTTGGAGGATTTTGCAGGGTTGGGGTTGCATCCTAGCCAAAATGCCTGGGGAGTTAGGGTTTATAATCAGAAGAATTTGCTAATTTCAAGCCAGTGAATCTGCTTGTTGTCTCTAGTGTGTGTCATAATCATGGAGTTGTAAATGCTCTAATAGTTGTATTTCTTAACCTGTTCTTGTACATGTAACTACTTTTATAATGGGCCAGTTGTGTTGGTTCTTTCTGTTTTATTCATGTTTTTGTGTTTTGTATTATCTCCGATTGTCAGATATCAATGAATGCAGCAGCACGCCATGCCAGAACAGTGCTTTCTGTGTTGACCTCATCAATGGCTATACATGCAACTGCAATCCTGGCTACACTGGTCTACACTGTGAGACAGGTGAGATAGTACCCTTAAATCTTATAAATATTCATTAGCAATAAGATAGTTTCATTGGTCGATTGTCCATTGTGTCAGAGAAGTGAAAAGTTTAATGAGTTTTTTTATCACCTAATAATGGTTATTTCCAACTTAATATACAGAGTGATTTTGGTTGTTGCAAAAGAAATCTTGGTCAGTTGGTTCATTTGTCTTACTGGTCTATCTCAAAGCTGTGACTTCATGTTTTATTTGTGAATTTGAAAACTGTTGTGGTTTTGAGGTTTGTCTCCACACATATCCATGGACCAAAAGAGATGACAATTATGTGACAGCCTCTAGATATTATGTGAGATTTGATACTTTTAGGAATGTTGTTGATTTTTCCAACAAATGTTAAAGAATAAGAGAGTCCTCTTGTTTCAACATTTTGAGAACCACTAATCAGATATCAATGAAATTATCATAGCTTTGGACTGTCTATAATTGTAATGGCCACTGTAGCTTTATGGATGGTGCAGTCAAAGTCTCGTGTGCAAAACAGCGCACACTGTATGAAGGCTTACTCCACCATTATTGTTCTCAGAGTCCATTATTAGTTAGTGCAAAATAACAAATTTATGAAGTTCAGATTACAACTCACTTCAATCATTGCATGCTCATTGCTAGTACCATCATGATTGTCTTTAATCCAATCTGCTTTTCACAAAATGCATGAAAGACAGCATTTTTTCCTCAAACTCTTGTTTTACTCTGACATGTCATTGTTTTCTTTGAAACATTGCACAGATATCAATGAGTGTGCCAGCGGCCCATGCGTTAATGGTGTGTGCAACGATGACGTGAACCGATTCACGTGCACTTGTTCGGATGGCTGGGAGGGTGCACTTTGTGATCAAGGTATTTCCCCCAAACTTCCCTCTCTCTCGCTCCCTGCTTAACCCCTCTCAAATTTACCATGGAATGATGGAACATTTCACTCTTTTTTTTTTAGATGTCATACATTAAAGGGCCTTTTTTCACTATGGGGATGTGGAAACCAAAACCCACATTCTGCAGTTGTTCATACAGTCAAGAAGACGATGGAACTTTTGGTTGCACAAAAGTTGGGGCATACAAAATACAAATGTACCTTCACTGTCCAAACTTTTAAAAATATTTCGCTTACTTCAGAGCAAGACATTTCTTTCATTTTCCTGGCACCCGCTATGATTTTAAGGCATGTGGCAAATTGTTTCTCCGAAAGGAAAATTGTAAAATGTTGATGCACATGTGTGCAGGTTGAATACTCTACTGGCTCATTAAGACAAGCCTTTAGTTCTGTTCCACATAAAGATGTCTTTCTGTGAACAGTGATTTGCAATTTTGAATACTCCCCAGCTCATATAGCAGAAATTGCTTAAATAGCCCTCCTCAGGTTGACCTTGGGACATCACAGAACAGTTGGCGACTGACTTTTCAGGATCAAGCTGCGTCTGAGCTACCATGTTGGAAAATTGATAAAAAGTTCCAGTTGTGAAAATGCCAAGGGAGTCCGAGTTATATTGTCTTTACATAAAATGAGTTTTTCAGTGGGTACAGGTGTTACTGATGCCTTTGCTTAAAAGCCACTTTTCTTATTATAACAAGAGAGTTTATACCTTGTTGCTTTTCAGCCATCGATGAATGTCGTTCCTTCCCGTGCCAGAATGGCGCCACTTGCGTAGATGGCCACAACTCCTACACCTGTGAGTGTGCACCGGGATGGGATGGGATCCACTGTACTGGCAATGTGAACGAGTGTATCCCGGACCCCTGCCAGAATGGCGGTCAGTGCTTTGATCTTATCAACATGTACCGCTGTGACTGCCAGCAGGGATGGACTGGAACTAACTGTGAAATGGGTAAGGGGCTGTCTAAAAACTAATCCAAACTTGAGGCAAGAGCAGTCATGATATTTTAACCCAAGCTTCTGTAACTCAGGGCTTTGTTAGAGTTGTTCAGATTCTGTCAGAGTTTAGTTCAACAAAAAGTAGAAACTCAGGTCAACTCAAATAGATTTAGTTCTAGACGGGCAAACTTGTGTGCATTAATTTGATAATTTTTATTGAACAGACACTGAAGTCACTCTGAATGACTATAAGAGTTGATCTTTTGACCTAGTTACTCCTAATTGTCTCAAGCCTTTCACCTTTTTGTGTAATTTATTAAAATCTTTGTAATAAGTCCCATCTGAAACAGGTGTCAGATCCTGATGATAACCTCACTCACAAGGGTGTGGAATACAAAGTGCAATTTTTCATTGTTATTTGGTACCTTTTTGTTTTACGTGTCTTAGACTTGAACGATTGCGCCAGCATTCCTTGCTTGAATGACGGCACGTGCATGGACATTCTGAACGGCTTCACCTGCACCTGTGTACAGGGATGGGAGGGCACCAACTGCGAGAGAGACGTGGATGAGTGTGCCAGCAACCCCTGTCAGAATAGCGGACAGTGTAACAATCGGCTGAACAGATATGATTGTACATGCTTGGCTGGTTACTCTGGAGTTCACTGTGAGACAGGTATGTGACATTTCCATTCTTGGGTTGGGTTGCATTCCCATGATCATGAATGTTCTGTGTAATTTAGGACAAATTTGGATCAAACTTGGATCTGAACATTTGCATGGTTATGAAACTTTATAGAATAATAACGCTACAACAGCTGTCTCTAAATTTCATTTTTTGCTTGACCGTATTCTTAAATTGCATTTACTTATCCATAAAATAGCCATCAAAACTGCAGGATTCTGTAAGTTAACAAAATGGCATTTATCTTGATTTGGAAATAAACTCTTGGTGTGAGCCAGTCAGAAACTTTTGACAGAGCTTGTTTAAAAAAATATATCCAGTAGTGATAATAAACAGATATCTAAGAAAAGTACAGAAAATAGCACCTGATTTACAAGTTGGAAAATGAGTGGCACAGGTTTTCAATTCAATTCAGTTCTGGTTTATAGGATCAAAAACACCACCAAGTAAGAAGTAAAAGACTTAAATAATCTATAATAATTACTATAACAATTACAAATTTGTACAAAGCATTAATGTCAGCATTCCAGAATTCCAATTAATTAAAAAAGAATAATGAATCAATTAATTAAAAATTTAAAAGTAAGAAGAAGACGTTAAAAAGAGGGTACATGTACTAAAAAACAACCACAATGATGATTGTTTCTCTTTGATCCAACAGACATTGACGAGTGTGTTAGTAATCCATGTGAAAATGGCGGCACTTGTCAGGACCAGCGGGCTGGATATGTCTGCCAGTGCCCACCTGGTTACAGTGGCATCAACTGCCAAACTGGTATGTTCACTCTGAAAGCAAACCGACACCCTGCAATACCATACAGGGTGGTTCAAAAAGAAGGAAACCCACTCTTGACAGGAATTTTAACCTACTTACTTAACTTATTTGAACTGGTTTTTTTTATGATATAGTGAAGTACAGCTCTTCAACCATTCATGGTGGAAAAAAAAATCTTTCAAAAATTCGTAAGAATAGTGTTATTATGCTAATTTGAATACAAGTCTCCAAAATCAATGATGTCCACGTGTAAGTCTAGTGTAGTGTTTTGTTGTCTTCAAATAAAACTCCAGAGCTCATTCAAGCAGATGGAATAAAGCCGTCTGTGGACAAACGGGTTTGGCACATGAAACCTTTAAACTGCCATATCTCAGAGACAAAATGTGCATTTGAAAATCATTTTTTCGTCACTTATGTTTAAAGATCAACATGTTAATACTATCAAATTGAATTCTTGAAATATGCTGAACAAATAGGTGAGAATTGCTGTCAAAAAGGGGGTTTCCTTCTTTTTGCATCACCCTGTATGTCATGTCTAAACATGTACCCATAATGTTTTGGAATTTGTAGCATATCCAACTGATGGCAAATATTCATAACAAGAACAGTGTGCTTAAAACAATAGTGGGAATAGATGTTCCAAAGCAATTGTTGATCAGGCCATTCTATTCCTCAGTTGACATTTTGTTCTCTTTGGTCATGAGCACCCATTCTCACTCCTGGGTTGAGACGGGTAATTGCCATAAACTGTCTTGCCCAAGAACACAGGAACATCACAATTTATGGTGCTTTCTTTATCACCAGACAACAACGAATGCAGTAGTTTACCCTGCCGCCAAGGTTCGACCTGCCAGGACGGGATCAACTCATACACTTGCGTGTGTGCTGCTGGCTTCGCTGGCTTCAACTGCGATGTAAACTTTAACGAATGCTCCAACAGTCCCTGTCTCAACGGCATGTGCATTGACGGCTTCAATGAGTATTTCTGCAACTGCTTTCCTGGGTACACTGGTGACAACTGTGAAATAGGTATGTGTATTTTGCTCAATCTAATTACAAACAAAACTTCCAAACATTGTGTGTTCTGCATTTTCTGTAACAAGATGAAAAAAATCCTATTAAATCTAAAAATGTTTCACTAATAAAAAATTGCACTGAATGTTTTTATTGTTTATTTTAACAGACATTGACGAGTGCAGTAGTGATCCTTGCTTCAATAATGCTACATGTTTTCAAGGCAGTAATTCTTTCACATATTTCTGTTCTTGTCCAATGGGATACACCGGCACCAACTGTGAAATAGGTGAGGTTGAGTTTTCATTCCTTTATTTGACCTTTTTTGGTACATTTCTCAATAGAGGAGTGACCTTTAAACAGCAGCCATCTCTTTTGTTTTATTCAGTGACATTGAATCACTGATCTCTACATAAAGACTGGATAGTGGATAGAGTAATTTAAAGAGGTTGTGGAATGCTCGAAGACATTTCCGTCATTTTTCGGGTATATGTAGCCTAAGGTGTGATGAAATAAAAACGACTATTGTATCTGTCATGAAATGAGTACAAAAGGTACTTTTGAGAGCTGTTTTTCAGGTCCTGTTTCGACCCGCAGGTGCAATTTGTGTAAAAGTCGTCGTTGGGGGCAGCAAACAAAACATAGTAAATCGTGACGTAATAAACAGGACTCCCGATGCAGCGTAGTATAAACGAGCATTCCACAATCTCTTTAACCAGTGCGCCCCCAATCTTTCAAAAATGGCCGCCTATATACGAACGTTCTACGCATACATACAGTGCGCGCTGTATCAAGATTGATGCACATTTTACATAGTGTTATGATTGGCTTCAAGATATGTAAGTGAAAATAGAAAAAAACTTCCCACAATTGCAATTGTGTCTCCTTTTTTGCCATGATTAAAATATACAATACTTGAACTTCAAGTAAATAAACATTCCAGAAAAAAATTGAGGTGGAAAAAAGGTATTCAAGACAAATTTGGGTTTGATGTTTTTCTAGATATAAATGAGTGTGTGAGCATGCCTTGCCAGAATGGTGGCACCTGTCGCAATGAAATCAATGGCTACAGCTGCACCTGTGCACCGGGCTTTGCTGGAGATAACTGCAGATTCAGTAAGTCGATCTGATTGGTCAATGGCCCTTTAGGCTGATTGTGATTGGTCACTGACTTGAGTCCGTTTAGGCTGATATATTTTTTTAAATCCTCCACTTTTAAGCTGCAGTGCAAGGGGGAGCACGTAGTAGTTCCCAGTGGAGCTGAAAGATAGGCAACTTGCTATTGGAAAATGACTGAACTCTTTACTCACTGTAGCACCCGAAATCGCCGGCCCGAGTACTCTATGGATTGATTGATTCTTCAGTGAATAAACACAATGTAATATAATGTAGCATCTTCTCTTTCAAGATGTTGTTAATCTGATGGCTGTATTACCTGGGATTTTGTTTGCCTTGAATAAGCCAGTTTGGTATTTCAATGACCCAAGGTCATTTGGGATCACATCGCTGACGTGATGTTACGCGATGTTACGTGCACGCCCATTCTGCTGGTAATTTACACGCAAGCGTTGTGCGCCAGCGTTCATGCGCCTTTGAAACCTTCTATTATCCCTTATGACCTGTGACCCATATCATTGTGCACATGTGCAGTTGCAATACCGAACTGGCTTATTCTGAATTGTTTGACTACCTCATAAGTTTTCAATCTTTAGGTTCAGAAATTTGATTTCCACACATTTCTGAAATTCTTACATGCCAGGAGCATTCCAAAAAACACTGTTTCGCAATGTGATAAATTGCTCTAAGGATGAGGTTAAAAGAGAGTGCAAAGTTTGTTTGTGTGTCCACTCCAGTTGATAACATTTAAAGATTGACCCTCGATGTGTCAGACTCCGAGATGTGTCAGACTGTGTCAGTTACTGCGTCTTTTATATTTGATCCATCTTGATATTTGTTTTCACCACTTTTTTTCATGGTTTACTCTTTTTACTTTTAGATTTTAATGATTGCCAGAGTCAACCGTGCCAAAATGGCGGCATATGCACGGACGGGGACAACGCTTATAACTGTCAGTGCCTAAGTGGTTGGCTTGGCGACAACTGTGAAATTGGTACAAAATTTCTTTTTATTTGTGTCCTATTATTTTTATTATTTTTTTTTATTCAGATAACATTAACAACATAGACTACACATAAAAATACAAAGATAAGAAAACAAAGAACAGTTGATGTTGTCTGGGATAGCCTCAAAAGCCAATTTAAGAGGCTTATTTCCAGTGGGTCCCATGGAAATACGTAAAATCATTTTGTTTACAGACCAAGGGAGGAATTTGTTTGGATTGCTTGGCGGTTTGCGGAAAGTTGTGTCAACATGAAGTGTATTTTATGGCTTTCAGGTACAAACTCTTGCAGTCACTAGAGATTGCTAGTATCACATCATTAAGCAAATACCTCCTCTGAAGTAAGTGCTGTGCTTACTGTTTTCAGTCTCTGTGAAGATATTTTCTCAAAAAAACACATAGTTGTTATTTTCCGCTAACAAATTTTTTAGGAACATAAGCTGTAAGCTCAGAAAATGCTAAATTTGCAAGGTTAGCGCAATTTCTCCGCCATTGTTTTTACAACTTTTCCCCAAACCATTCAGCAACACCATGATGCTAACCCCTGGCCACTTACAAATAATTCCACTTTGAAATGTGTATTAACATTCAAGTCATTGGACCCATCTTGTGACTTACAGCTAACGATGAGTGCTTGAGCCAGCCATGTATTAACGGAGGGACTTGCGTGGACATCCAGAATGCCTTCAATTGCATGTGCGCAGCAGGCTGGACAGGAGACTTTTGCGAAACAGGTAATCTGCAGGGGTTTTAGAATTTTAGTCTGCATTAAAAATGTGGGACTTTATCCTGTATCAAGAGCATTGTGATATCATTTAACAACGTCTATAAGTTCATTGCAGTCGTGTTTTCGTTGGCCAGTGCATGGTTGTAGGCATGGCACCATGTATTTTCATGGAACAGACCCTGGTGTGATGCCTAGGATTTTGGATTCCCCCAAAATAATAGAGAAAGGACAGCAGAGATGAAACTGTTTCAAGTTGATTAAATTTCAATGAATTTGATGTAAATGGCACCACGGCATCTGTATTATGAGCCTGATATTTGGAGGTTTTAGATTTAGTTGTACAAAATGCAATGCTTTAGAAAATAAAGATGATGATCTTGACGATGGCAAAGACAGTATAAGTGATACATGTCACGGGCAGTTGTTGGAAGAAAAAGTAGATAATGCCCGATTGTTCCCACGTACATAAGTGGAGTTTGGTTGATGGACATAATTGAATGGTGTTATGAATGGTGCCCTTGTCTTTTGAACGTTTTCCTCGACTTTCTTAAGGAGTAAGTGAACTTCTTTGATGACGAGTCAGTTACTGTAATTGTAATTCAGGCTTTTTAATTTTATGAAAACACTGAACATTTTTTCTCATCGTAACATTTACAGGAGGCGGTGGGCCAGAAATTGGGCATGAAGTGTATTGTACATATACATGTGCATGTGTAACTGCGGCGCGGCCCAGATTTCGGGCACATATTTTTGTTTCATCAATTTTCCGATTTTCCCCCCCATATGCCAGTTTCATCTCTGTAAACAACACTTCATGAAATCAGCTGTACATGAGCTTTCATCTTCCGGTCAGATTTTTTTTTAGGTGATAAACAATTTTGCAACAGACCTTCAGAACTGTATCATTAGGGAAATGAGATATGTTTTCATTCACAGAATCTTGACTTTTTTGCAATTCTAATTTTTGGTTTCTGCCAGACATTGATGAATGTGCGAGCAGTCCGTGTGCAAATGGTGGCACCTGCACACATGCAACGGATCGGTTCTTCTGTCGCTGTCCGGCAGGCTGGACAGGCACTACCTGCAGTGTAGGTAAGCAACAACAATACAATTCAGCAACCAGTTGATTTAAGGCTATAAAAAGGGAGGCAGTTTTTTTCCGTGTTTCTTTAAGTCTTCGCACAGTCTTGGTAAGTCATTTTATGGTAAAAAAAATGGTGCCTGTAGGAGACAATGAGTGTATAATACCAGTGCATTTTAATTAAGCCTTTTAGTTAGGGCACTTATATGTAATAGCATAGTCAATAATTCTTAAAAGTTTGTATTTTTCACTTTTTTAAATCCTAGCTCTTTATGTGTTTGCATTTCAGAACTCATGGTTTATAAATAAGGGATTACAGTCAAATCTCTTTTTGGTGTGGTGTTCATTGAAGTGAAGCCAATCATGTTGATGTCACAGAATTCACATGCATTTTGTATATGTTTTTCAGCCAAAGTGTAAACTAACATTACCATTTGTTGTTCATTTTTTGGAAAGGACTTTTTGACAAGAGAAATCAGACTGGATGATTTAGACTAGGTATAGAAATATCAAGGCCATAGTTGCTAAAAAACAATATGTTAAATGTTGACATGCATAAAACTTAAAAAAAAAAAAACTTCATTATTTAAAAACTTGTAGTAGCTTTACTTAAAGTATTGTCTGTGCATCGTATTTGTTAAGAGTGCACATTGTGAAGTATACTGTTATTCCGCTGATAGGCTGGCAATTTGTGGCCTGGTTTTTCAAAACCCCAAACTCACCATTCTTATGTTAAGATACTTGTGTATCATTTTTGTTTACATAGAATCCTTTGAATGTGCCAGCAACCCTTGCATGAATGGAGGTATCTGCTTCGAAGGCCATAATGCCTTTTTCTGTCTGTGCCAAGCCGGATACACTGGTGTCACGTGTGCAACCAGTAAGTCATTGATTAAAGAGTCAATTTCTATGGAGGTCTATTTAAACTTGAAATGAGTGTTGTCTTGAGAGTAATACTGTCAAAGTATTTGGTGCCAGAAAGTCCCTTTAGGACATGAAAACGGCTAGGGGCCTTGCCGAGTTGAAGGCTAGGGATGTTATCTGAAACAAGGGTACTGGCCACTTTTAAACATACTTATATAAAACCACCAAGCACATTTTTATTCCCATTCAAAATACCTTTTCATTCAAAAACTAAAAATCAATGTTGTAGTACTCGTACTTGAGTACTACTCGAGTACCTTTTTTTAGAGTACTCATACTCGTTCTCGTACGCGAATGTCAAATTGCTCATACTCGAAATGACGGTACTCGTACTTGGGCAGCAAAGTACTCGTACTTGACATGTCAAAATTGTACTCGATCATCAAAGTTCTTGTACTCGAATAGCAGTACTAAAAAAAAAGGTTATAGCTTGACTTACCACGGGCTGATTTTATTATCAATACTTTCAGTTGGAAATGGTTGATTGGCTTGCAGAGAAATCAAAGTTTCCTGATTTTTCTCTGTGCACGTCCAGACAAACACATTTAACAGCTAGCCGTGAGTGGGTCTGTATATCGACTGACTGAGCCTGGGCCAATTACACATAATGAACCATTTCGCCATATGGCCATATTCAGAAATAGAACTACTCGTACTCGTACTCAGAATACAGTATTTGTACCTGTTGGTACTCATACTCAGAGACTTGAACTTGTACTTTGAATTACAAGTACTCGTATTTGTACTCGGTAACCTGAACTCTGCAGTACTTGGTACTCGAAAAAAAGTACTCAACTACAACACTGGTAAAAATATGTCAAAAATTGACAATTTTGTCTAACATGTTTTGTGTAACACCCATCTTGCCATGGCTATTGTATGTGTCTCACATGGGTGTTTTGCTAGTGGTTTAAACCACCCACAAGATGGGCTCTAGGAATGGGTAAATTGTCTCAGGTATTTATGAATGTAGGACAAAAACAAATTATGGTTTACATTTCTGAATGTTGGCAGGTTTCTGACATGTATTTACTTTAAAGCAGACCAGTAAAAAGGTTCAGCGAATCTGATGGTTTTGTCTGTTTCATTTCTTACAGATATGAATGAGTGCAGTAGCAATCCATGTGAGAATGGTGCTGAGTGTCAAGACCTTATCAATGGATACAGCTGCACATGCGCACCAGGCTATACAGGGGACAACTGCGAAACAGGTACATATACTGATAATTAAGGAAAATCCAGTTGCCCTTTTTTGTCCAAGAGGCGAACAGTGAAGCCTATGGTTTCAATAAAGCTTCTTAATACCTTTTCATCGCAAGTGATCGTTTTCATTGACTATGAGTGCACATGCACAAAGATAGTGCCGGCATCGAGAAATAACGTCATCAACTCAGCTGGTATTGAAAAACACTTCTCCCTGATAAATAAATAATGTTTTACGAGTCGTTAATTGTGGAACCCATACAATATACATGTAACATTGGAACATTGTATTTGATTGAGAAATTTCAGTGGTAAAGGAATTTTTGATGTGACGGATTTCATAAGCTCATATATGACAACCAAATGGACTACGCAATACAATAAACAATTGTTGTCTGCTGGGATGTAGTCCATAGTGTTTTCTATGGCCAAGGGGGTTAAATGGCACCCAAGTGTGTACAAAACCCATGGACTGTATCACAACCTATAAGAATGGTTTGTTATACATGTACCATGTTTTCAGCTGCGGGATAGCAGCTAAACAAATCATCATGTCTCTCCGTTAGTGAGTTAGCAACAAGCGTATTGCTCCCACATATTTTGACCGATTTCAACCAAAAGTATCAGTAGCCCAGCCCCAACATGTCACATGACCAAACTGGGGTCAAATGTCATCATTGGGTCACTGGGATCAAAAACCTGGATTTATTTTTACTCAAAACACTACTCCTTCCAGAAATTACATAGCACAATCACATGACTCATACATCAACACCAATTCGTTGGCCCGCGGCGTCCGAGATATTTCTGATCAAGCTTGTTATGTTAAGAACTTGTTTGAGTTCTGCAGAAGCTTAACATGTCATTTTCATAATAATATTATATTAACTTAAAATGGCATCATCATAATGGAAGGAATTTTTTTAGACGTACTATGCATTTGGATTGAACAGTCCAATTCGTCAGTCAAATGCTTCAGTCATCTGTGTAGACACACCTGCAAGCAGGATGGCTTTAGTTGGCAGCGGGCACAAACTTGTTTTCAAAAGTCTTGAGAATGAAGAAAGGTGATGTTTCTGTGGAGTCCATCAGGTCGCCATACATGAACATTTGCAGTTCATCACATGGACTGTTCTCAACCAATAAAGTTTAACAATCTAACATCATAGTATAGCAATACCTCATGTAACCTGGGTACATCTTCTTGATAGTTCTCAAAGACTTTTAATCATACGACCATATTTGTCAAATTTTATAAAATTGTGCGGCTAAATTCCAGGCTTTTTCTGCAAAGATATTACGATGTCTGCATTGAATTTCCTGGGTGGATTGCCTACCTGTCATTCTCTACCTCTCTACCAACAGATATCAACGAATGTGCCAGTTCCCCATGTGTGAATGGTGGTGAATGTGACAATGGAATCAACTTCTACACATGTCGCTGTACCCCTGGATGGACCTCCACTAACTGTGACCAGGGTAAGCATATTGCTACAAGACTCTCACATTGCTACAAGACTCTCACATTGACCCAATCCATTGCAGAATGTTTCAACCAATGGAGTGATTAGTAGAATTTTAACAAATTGGATCATGTTTCAGGGGTGCATTCCATTTTTTATCCCCCTGGCTGGCTTTTAAGCCAAGGAAAGGGGATCTTGCGATAGTGTATTCCTTCTGTGTGTCTGTGTGTTCATTTTGGTCAGGTTAACTGTTCATTACTGTCATACGAAAAGTCAGACTTCAATCTCAACCAAACTTGGTGACAATAATCTTTGGGTTGAGACATTTGAGATAAAAGTTCATCTAGGGATCAAATGAGGTCATTGTTTATTTTGGTTTGGTCAACTGAAAAGTGTACTTACTAACTGACTGTATAAATACTGCCAGCATGCCAGGGGGATCGCGCAAGATTAACTTCATTATTTTTATAAATGAACAATGCTAATGTTTGCCAACATTCATGATCTTTTTGCACATGGCCAATGGGAATTCATTGGCAAGTTTGCTTTGTTCGCATAAGTGGAGTGCACCAGCAGTCATTTGGAAATCTCAAAGGTTGTTTACTAGGATATAGAGGGTCCCGTCTTTCAAAATGTGTTTAAAAAAAGTTAAACATTGAAGATTATGGCTTAGCTTATGGATAATGCTATTTTCTCTGGGCATTAATATTGAAAATGTTGAATTATACAATCAAGCGTGGGTACATTTTCCATTGTGTGTGCATTTCTTCGGCCTTGCGAGGTAAAATATTTTGTTCATATTCATCATATTCAGCTCATCTTCAGTCTCGGGTGTTAAAAATGGCCTAGCCCACACCACAACAGTCAACAGTAGTTAAAAATACAATGCACAATTGAACCTGTGAAATGCGCAAACCGATTAAGTGGACCCCTAAAAGTGAACCAAGACGCTTGAGTTGTAGCTGAGCTCATCACAAATGACATGTCAATAACAAGTCGCAAGTAAAAGTTACACGTAAAACTGAATGAAAAATCACACAAATGTTGTTGCCATTGTTCTTTTGAATAACTTGTGACTGGAGACGAGATGACTTGTGATGGTCTTATGATTGACTTGTGATATGGACTAGCTAGGACTTGACCAACTGTTCATATCGCCCTCAGTTGGGTCTCATGATAATATCACCCACGGGCCACTGGCTAGCAATTCTTGCAAAGAGCCTTTAGATTATAGATAATGATGATATAATCTCTTAGGATATTAATCTCCTTGACTATTTCTACTTCAGATTATGATGAGTGTAGCAGTAGCCCATGCTTGAATAGTGGACTCTGCAGCAATGGGCAGAACCGGTACACATGTACCTGCCAGGTTGGCTGGACTGGAATCCGATGTGAAACAAGTGAGTTTGTCCTCAGCAAACCGGGAGAGAGAGACATGTATGATAAAATACCCTCAGAATGTGTTCATTTGCACAACTGTGTAAATACACCGCATAGTCAATGATTCAAGGCCAGTGTCTAATGCATAGCCTTTACGCTCCTGCTGCTGCAAAGGGTCCCTCTTACAACCCTTTCTCACCAAGTCAATTTTTTTGTCAAATGTAAACAAATCTCAAACATCAAGTTTCAGACACCTTTTACTTAGGCTGACCCACAAGACTACTCTTAAAGGTACAGTCCATCATTTTTAATTTGTGCATTTTGTTCGTTTGAAGCAACAAACGTGCTCAAAATCTAAAGAAGGGTATTGAACAACTAAACTGATGAAGTTTCAGCTCAGCTTCAGCTGTATATTCCGAGAAAAACAGCATTCTAGGATCTCGATTTCAAATCAAAAGTTGCTGAATCATGTTTTGAATTGAGCCTGAATTCAGCGTCCGAGACACGTTCTCAATGAGCTGATTGCAGCTACGCGATGTCGCGCACTGATCCGATGAATTATAGCAACTGCGCACGCGCGTGCATCGTGCCAATGCTTGCACGCGCTTCGCCGCAAAACAAAACGAACTACTTATTTAAATTTCCTACGGTGCGTCTTAAGAAGCACTGTTGGAAAGGCCTTCTTTTGTTGATTTCTACAAAATGACAGCTTTCCAGAAAGAATAATTTCACAGGGAGTTTAGTCCCCTTACTATCTTTCAACCAAGTATGTTTTTCAACAAGAATTACGCCAGTTACTTTTTGGATAGCTGCAAATAATAGACTCCAGCTTTAAGACGTGGGCACATTTTCTAAACCCGGTACCTTGGTGCTCACTTTTTTCCAAGGTGTAAGTACAGGATCCAAACTTTAAATGTGAACGTAAATGAAGATTTCAAATGCCAGCTCTTGAAGAGACCGATCCATTAAACTAACTACACGTGCGCCTCTGCAGTGCCACATTGCATGTTTCACTGCATGTTCCGGAAGTGTGTCGTACACAGATGCATACATGGGAGACTATAATCACGGCTGTGATTGGTCAAAACGTAAAGGTGTGAGTCTTAATGGATCCGTCTATTGTGGAGTATAGTTTTCGACGGGGCACACCATCTTTGTAAAAACAAAGTTTGGAGGGATTGCCCTTGTTTTAAAATGAAGATATTTTGCCAATTTTGACCGACTTTAAGCACTTAATCTCTTTCCTAGATATGGATGAGTGTGCCAGTTCACCGTGTCGTAACGGAGGCACCTGCATGGATCAAGTCAGTGGCTTTTCATGTATGTGTCGCCCTGGCTTCACTGGGTCCATGTGCCAAGATGGTAAGCCTTGCATTCACTAAATGACTGGCTTTGGAGATTTTCCTGTAACCTCCACCTTATCGTAGTTTTGTGAAGGAAGCACAGAACATTCTTGGTAACTGACAGCCGTGTTCAACGCATCTGTACTCCATGCAAAACTTATCTTATCCCAAATAATTTAGTGTTGGATTATTCCTACTTGGACTTGATCGAATATTTGAATATTGGATTTTCAGAATGCACTGATCAAGTTAAACATGCACCAGCCTAAACTGGCCATGCATCAGGATTTTGTGTGCGCTTGTGCTTGTCGTAAATTGACAAAGAGCTTATCAAAAAACATAAAGAAGCGCTAGCAGAATGGCTGATATTTGACCAATTGTTAAGAAACAATTTTGAGTGAATATTCCTCTCAAATCATGTGGGAAGAAGCTTTTAACAATAGTATGGCATTTTTTTATACCCTCCCCAAAAAAAAGAACCCCCAAAAAACAAAGGATACGATTAAAATCATAACCATTTATTAACATAACGTCGTGGACTTTTTCATCGTCTCCTCGGGACCGCTAAATATTTAAATATTTTATAATTTAAATAAAATTATACTTAAACTTTTTTAAATGCTGAATCTGTTTTTGAGTGCTTTAACCCTACTAATATGAACATGCTCTTAAATCATTAATACTGTGACATGGACAACTTTTTTTTCCATTTTTTGGTACAGATATTGATGAGTGTATGTCAAGTCCATGTCAAAACAATGCCACCTGCATCGATAATATCAACCTGTACCTGTGTCAATGTGCACCTGGCTGGGCTGGACTTAACTGCCAAATCGGTAAGTGATTTGATTCAAAAGCCTCAAACTTGGAGCATCTAGAATTCTCTATTCTAACTCCTTCAAATCATTGTCCTGATTTACATATTTACTGCCCAACTTCAACCAAAAATAATTTTTCTTTTATAATTGGTCAAAGAAATTGACTGGGACAGGTTTGAACCTGGGACGTCTGGAATGCTGTTCCGTTGTCTTTACCAACTGAGCTATCTAGCCCTAAGTTGGAGGTTCCCCAGTTTGTCGATGTCTTTATTCAAGGGGCACTAATTGGAATTCAGTTTGATCTAGCCAATGCCTTAGGACCCCATTTTCCAATTTTTGGAAATCATGTTTGACCGCTGAAATAACTAGCAGAGATGCCACTTTTCCGATTTTAGCCGGAATTCGTTGTTTTTTTTCCAAAAATCTCACAAAATTCTGTTTTTTCCGGCTGTCAAAATAAACTGGAAAAAGAGAAGAAAAACTGTGGAACTGTGAAATGCTTTGATTTTTACCTTGTTAGCGCTCTCGAGTTTAATGCATTTAGGCGCACGCACTGGCACAACGTCGCATTGTTCGTTGAAGTAGTCTTAAAAACAAGTCTTTGTTGTGAACAAGCCTGCATGCGAAATAGGCGGCCAAAATACTTGCACGCAGTATACATGGCGCCTCGTGCGTGCTTCACTGCGTGCGGGCATGTTATGTGCTCAACGCACTTAGCAGTCGTCGTTGGGGGCAGCAAACAAAACATAGTAAATCGTGACGTAATAAACAGAACTCCTAGTTCTGATGCAGTGTACTATAAACGAGTCCTGTTTATTACGTCATGATTTACTATCATGTGACGGGTCACGTGAGGGCCTCAACAACACCAGTTGATAAAGACACCGTGATGGTGTCGCAAGCTCCTGATATGAGTTCTTGTGATCAAAGTCCCAAAAAGGCATCTTTTATTTAATTGATATAATAATGGGGCAGGAAACGAACTTCCATGCTCGACGATTTACTATGTTTTGTTTGCTGCCCCCAACGACAACTTTTACACAAATTGCACGTTCGGGTCGAAACAGGACCTGAAAAACAGCTCTCAAAAGTACCTTTTGTACTCATTTCATGACAGATACAATAGTCGTTTTTATTTCATCACACCTTAGGCTACATATACCCGAAAAATGACGGAAATGTCTTCGAGCATTCCACAACCTCTTTAAACATAGTTCCATGCCTATCAGTACTGGTGAAAAGTCATAAAGAAAGGGTTGTTTTGGCCCGCGGTTGATAGCATGTATTTTGGTTTATAGGAAAACAATGAGATAATTTGGATTGATTCAATCTTTATGTTTGAATTTTACTTCCATTTCCAATTAGATCTTTGCATATTTTGTGTAGTTTAATCAGAGAAGATTTTTCTTCTAATACAGATTTTCTGTACTTTTTGTTTCTTAGATATCAATGAGTGTGCTAGTAATCCCTGTGTGAATGGAGCGTGTACCAGTCAAGTCAATGGTTTCCAATGCAATTGTGTGCCTGGGTACCAGGGAGTCAGATGTGACTCGGGTAAGGAAAACTTTTTTGCTTAATTTTTTTATTGGTGGGTCGTTTATGAATAGCAAAGACAAAGCTAAGTAGTGAAGCGAAAAAATAATGAATGAATATCAATAAACTAACTTGGTTAAATGTTTAAAGTTGAACAAAGAAATTGACTGGAATGGGGTTTAAAGGTATGACCGCAGGATTGTTGTTTTGGTGCTCCACCAACTGAGCTACCCAGCCCTATGTTAAGTTTTAGCTCATAAATGCATATGTACAAACGTTTTGTACAAGATTCTCAAATGGCAAGCTAAAGTATGCACCATTTCCAGATTTAACTTTGCAATGGGGCAACAGACTAAATCTTTCACTGAATCCAGGACTGAAGATTGAAATTGCTTTCTACAAAGTGTAAAAATTTGCAAAGAAATGACCACAGCTTGTTCATATCTGGTAAAGGACAACATGCAAGACATTACATGTGTGCTTTCTTGTTAGAGCTTTGTGAAGGTTTTTTGGGCAAGGGGATGTTTTCTCACCTAAAACCACAAGGAAGCAGCCGGTTAAGCAAAATGTGACATAATTGTGTCTTGGGCCTATTTGTACTGGAATGGGTGACTACAGATTACCACAGATGGTAAAGGGAAGTAGCATAGCCTGAAATAACAGCAGAGAGCGAGGACCATAGACCTATATTAAATTACTAGCACACTAACTAACTCCTCATTCTTACACGCGGAGATACTTTGAATCCTTCCTGCGCACAGACACTTAGAATTCATGTGTATGTTTGAAGAACATAATGAAATTAGATGGGGTGAATTTTGAAAGTGTACTCTATTGATGCAACGCGGAAGTACAACATACGCAAACAATTTTAGCGCATCGTGAAGGTTTAAAAAAATCATGGTACAAATCATCTGCAGCGGATACGCACACACGTTTGCGTTGTTTGCGCAGAGCAAAATGAAACGCTCATTTAGTGATTGTGCAGTTCGGTTTGGGGCTTATCGGCTTAGATAACCACCTGTATAGAATACAAACGCAGATACGCAAGTAGCTGTACATAATTTCGAGTTTTTCGTAGGTTATTGCACAAACATGGATGCGCCCAGCAGGCATCACTTCATACATCATGTCAGCACAATTATAGCTCTGTGGCCTGGACAAAGAAGTTTGACAAAAATGATGAACTAGGGCTGGGGGAGGGGGGGTTTGGGGGTTGCAACCTCCCTGTTCATCTGCTGACTAACGTTATATAATACTAGTAAAATGGGGCTTGAAAAAAAAATGGAATGCTAAATTTCCTAAAACTTTTTCTCAAATTGCTTTAGAATGCAGGAGAAAGCATCGTAAACTTCAAAATTTCCCAAGGGGCATGCCCCCGGACCCCCCCCCCATAGCACTCAACCCCCCCCCTCTTCATATCGTCCCCTCCCCCTGCCCTTTTCTGAAAGCTAGATCTTCCTCCTGAGGGTAGCAACCACGCTGCATATTCTTTGACATTATCATTATCATAATTTCTATTCCAGATATAAATGAATGTGGCAGTAACCCCTGTCGCAACCAGGCTACGTGCCTGAATCAACTCAACATGTTCACCTGTCAGTGTGGTCCTGGTTGGACTGGAGTGACCTGTGAGACAGAGCTGGATGAGTGTAGCAGTAACCCCTGCCTGAATGGAGCCACCTGCGAAAATGGCATCAATCGCTACCAGTGTAACTGTGCCCCTGGTTTCTACGGGACCAGATGTGAGAGTGGTGAGTGAATTTATAATCATTTTTATTATTATAGAGGGGATAATAGTGTGATGGAGCAGTTATAAATGTGTGGTTTAAAACTGGTTAGGGGCCTGGTTGCTGAAAATGGACTGAGCCCGAGTCATGAATACCTTTTTGGACAGAAAACATAAAAAAGCCGCAAAGTTAACAAACTTCAAACAATTTTGTTCCCTCCTTTTACTGCATGTTTGGGTCATTATATGGTAAACATCTTATACTGAGATCTCAAGTACTCAATTGTGCCTGGCAATCATTGCTGAGTGCTGTTTAATTGGGGTTTAAATCCACCCATGTGACTGGCTCTCAGCCAATAGGAATAGACTTTCCCAGGTATTAATCAGTGTTGTATTATTGCCGTCTAGTATCGCAGCCCTCGGGCTGAATAGCACAATGTATTTAATACAATGTTTATAAAATGTGTTCATGTAATGAACTACTTAAATTTATATTGGGTTTTGCCCGTCTCTGAAGTATACTTATAAATACTTTATACCGAGTGTTTTTCAGGTGTTTGCAAGAAAAAAATTAACAAGCTTAGTTGGGTAGGATTCAAATTTGATACACGGGTGGACCTTAATATTGATTCCAGATTCTTATGAGATTGGGCACTGGATTGTTCCTTAGTATGTCTGCCATAATACCTTATTTTTGTTTTAGAATATAATGAATGCATCTCCAATCCCTGCATCAATGGAGGTGCCTGTGTGAATGACATCAACATGTACACCTGCAATTGTGTCAATGGCTACACTGGGCTGAAATGTGAAATACGTAAGTACCCCTCGATCTGAATCGTCAGTTCACTGCAGGAAAGTTCCCTACAGCAGTTGAACAGTTTTTGTATTAGCTCAGATATTGAATTTGAGAAAAAGAAAATTTAAAAAAGGTTCAACCAATTATAAGGATAATTCCTTCTGTAATGTAATGTTTTTTCTTTTTATGTTTTTTCGTTTTTTCAATTTATCTAGATTTATATTTTAAATTTCATTTTAAAAATTCAAACATTTAGAAAGAGGATATTTTTATTTTACCAAAGTTTTCCAATTCTTCAGGTGTTTCAATCATGCAGTCAGCTGGCACATGCCTCCAACCTTTTTGGCACCTTTAATCAATTTAGAATGATACTGATATATTTGTCCTCTTGCCTATATCAGCTATCAATGAGTGTGTAAGCAGTCCCTGCCTGAATGGTGGGACGTGCACTGACGGTGACAGCTCATACACCTGCACCTGTATCACTGGCTTTGAGGGGACACATTGTGCGACTGGTGAGTATTGGTGCCATTGTCACTCTGATGACGTCATTGTATTAATGGCAGCATAATATGACAATGACACATTGATGACAAATATACTTTAAAGTATCATTGATGAAATCAACATTTTGATGGTGTTGTCCTATTAATAACATTAAATCTCTGAAAGCATTGTATTGATGATGTTGTAGTGATATTGTCCTACTGACGTTATTGTCGATCAATATGATGACAGCTGTATGTCAATGACCATCATTTTTATTATTTTTTTGTCATTGATAACAAGAAATTTAAGTCAAAGTATCAGTGACTGACAAATTGATGATATTGCAATAATGATGGCATTGTCATGCTGATGATATTGTAAACAATATCGAAGTGTTAAAATAAAGATGCATTCCCCATGCTTTTTTTGAGTTTTATTTCAAAAAATGGATTCCTTTTCTAAATTGCTATTTTTCTAGTAATACAAAAGTTATTTATTTTCGAATGAGAAAACGACCAAAAATAATCTGCCCATGTTTGCCCATTGAATTATTACTTAATAATTTTCAAATTTTTGGCTGCCAGACAATAATTTTGTTCTTGTGAGGTAGGCTGGTTCCCGCCCACAATCAGTATAGATAATGTATGGACTGGGAGCCAGTCTGCTTGCAAGATTCAATTGAAGTTCCTTTGTCATATTTGGGAAAAACCCACAGAACTCATTTATTATTTGCGACTTTCTGGTTGAAACTTTTTCCGTTGAGCATCTGATATGTAAATTTGTGATTTGTCATTTTCTATGGCAGATATTGACGAGTGCGCCAGCAACCCTTGTAGCAATGGGGCCACCTGCATGGATCAAATCAATAGATACAGGTGTCTGTGTGCACCTGGCTGGACTGGGGTCAGCTGTACTACAAGTAAGTGATTGTTATTGCTTGAAATAAAATGATGAATGATTATCGGACAGAAGGGAATATGAGAAATTCAAATTGTTTTTATTAGGCAAATCAATATATCGGCTCAAAATGGTGCTTAGTGGCAAAAGAGAGTTGATAAGTTCATCTGATGTAAAATGAGACGGATGAAGTGACAAGGATTGCATGATTTGTTGTCAGGATTTTTCTAGATTTCAGGATGTTTTAAAAATCCATTTTGAAATCTGAAATTCTTCAGGCTTTAACGTGAGGTGTTTTTACAGATAAAAGTGTCTATAGCACAAAAAGAGATGATTGTTTTAAGGGGTGCCATCCAGCAACTTACACATTCCATACACCCTACATTGCTCTGGGGCCCTTGACGACCTTCAAACCCTGTACCGATTATTTTACGGATTTTTCATTTGACCGCAATCTCAACCCTGATTGTTGGGTGATCAAGTCCAACTCTCTTAGCAATTTTGCTGGGACCCTTCCTGAATCCCTCAAAGGAAAATACTTTGAACTGCTACATTTGAATTGACCGTATGGCTTGATAAACGGGGGTCATAATTGTGGAACATTTCCATTACATGCATAGCTCTACCGCAGTATTAATTTTGTTATTATCAGACATGATATTTGTCATTGAATAGAAGTGTCACAAGAAAAAACACTCAGTAACCCTTTTGATTGATTTTGTGCATACTGTGCTTTTCCTGTCCTGCTGTGTATGATTATTAGATTTTGCAACTTCATGTATAACCTTTTAAACTTTCATACCAGACATCAATGAATGTGCTATCAACCCCTGTATCAATGGAGGCATCTGCGATGATCTCATTAATGGTTACGAGTGCAGATGTATGGCAGGCTGGCAGGGCATCAACTGTAATGAAGGTAAGGGTTTTTTTGTGCTTTTTATGCCCCGCGGCGAAGCCGAAGGGGCATACTGTTTCCGCCTTGTCCTTCCGTGGGTGGGTGTGTGTGTGGGTGGGTGAGCTTGTCTTACATACGCAGTGTGGACTTCCGAACAAAAGACGTCCACATAATGTAGGTAGCAGCGACGAAGTGTGGACTTGCCCACGTCCACACAGTGTTTCCCCAATTCTGGAAAACAGGTTTAGAGGCATTTTTGGGTTAGGTTTATCTGTAGCAGAATGAAGAGAAACACTAAAGGGAATCATAGAAAAAAAATTGGGTTGAAAGAGTTTTCACAGTTTGAGAAAAATGAGTTTTTTCACTGGTTTTTCTTAACTACACGAAAGCAATGGAAAGTCCACACTAGTCATGTGAAACAAGTGTGTGTGGGTGTTCCTGCATGGCATTACGCCTGAGGACAGACAACAAAAGGAGCACAAAGGGGCCATTGATCCTCGAAGGAAGGTGCCTATTGTCCTCGAACGCAGGTTTGTGTGCTTAGTCTATGGGAGAGTGTTATATTACAGGGACAAAGGAAAACACAAAGCCAATCCTCGGAAGCATAGCAAAAAACGACTGTGTGTGTGGGTGTTCCTGCATGGCATTACGCCTGAGGACAGACAACAAAAGGAGCACAAAGGGGCCATTGATCCTCGAAGGAAGGTGCCTATTGTCCTCGAACGCAGGTTTGTGTGCTTAGTCTATGGGAGAGTGTTATATTACAGGGACAAAGGAAAACACAAAGCCAATCCTCGGAAGCATAGCAAAAAACGACTGGGTGTGTGGGTGTGTGTGTCCGGACAAATCTTGTCAGCGCGATAACTTGAGAAATACTTTACATATGAACTTCAAATTTGGTTTGTGGATTGTCCTTGGTAATCCTAAGGAGCCTTTTGCATTTGGGGCCGAAAGGTCAAGGGTCAAGGTCACAGTGGCTGAAACAATAGAAATTTTGTCAGCGCGATAACTTGAGAAATACTTTACATATGAACTTCAAATTTGGTTTGTGGATTATCCTTGGCAATTCTAAGAAGCCTTTTGCATTTGGGGCCAAAAGGTCAAGGGTCAAGGTCACAGTGGCTGAAACAATAGAAATTTTGTCAGCGCGATAACTTGAGAAATACTTTACATATGAACTTCAAATTTGGTTTGTGGATTGTCCTTGGCAATTCTAAGAAGCCTTTTGCATTTGGGGCCAAAAGGTCAAGGGTCAAGGTCACAGTGACTAAAACAAAAGAAATTTTGTCAGCGCGATAACTTGAGAAATACTTTACATATGAACTTCAAATTTGGTTTGTGGATTATCCTTGGCAATTCTAAGAAGCCTTTTGCATTTGGGGCCAAAAGGTCAAGGGTCAAGGTCACAGTGGCTGAAACAATAGAAATTTTGTCAGCGCGATAACTTGAGAAATACTTTACATATGAACTTCAAATTTGGTTTGTATATTGTCCTTGGCAATCCTAAGAAGCCTTTTGCATTTGGGGCCAAAAGGTCAAGGGTCAAGGTCACAGTGGCAAAAACAAAAGAAATGTTGTCAGCGTGATAACTTGAGATATACTTTACATATGAACTTCAAATTTGGTTTGTGGATTGTCCTTGGCAATCCTAAGAAGCCTATTGCATTGGGGGTCGAAAGGTCAAGGGTCAAGGTCACAGTGGCTAAAACAATAGAAATCTTGTATTTATTCTGAGATCATAGGGATTAGGGATTAATTCATATTAAACCTACAGAAGACACTAATGCTGTCAATGAACGTTCCATTTGACCAAGGTACATGTAAGTTGATGTTAGAGTGGTGTTATGTCATGGAAACAGTCACGGTTGCGGGGCATTTGTGTTTGTAAACACACCTGACTTGTTTTTATTTTACTTTGCCTTACATTTATAGCTTTCCAGTTGTATTTGAATATAATTTTATTCAGTAAATTGAATCAAGCAAAAGTCACATTTGGGAATTTTAATCAATTACATGTATTTTACATGAAGAAAGAAATTGACTGGAACAGGATTTGTACCTGCAACCTCTGGAACACTGTACCAGTGCTCTGCCAACTGTGCTATCGAGCCCTGTGTTGGCAGTCTTTGTTCATGGGGCACTTGTCCAAAGCCACAAACCTGTATGTGCCATGTAGCCGGGTTTCTAACGCACAATAGCAACATAAGGCCGGGATGCTGCAAACTGCAAATGTGGGACAGGAAACTTTTGGATAATTTAGTTTGAGTTGATAACAGCTTTGATAAGAATGGCTTGAACAAAACTGTTGCTCTTACAGCTTTGTTATATTGCAAAACAAGCATTTGAAAAACGTCTTGATCTTTTTTGTTGTCCTTTTTCAGACGTGGATGAGTGTGCAGGAATGCCTTGCCAGAACGGCGCTTTCTGCGTCAACGGTCGCAACATGTACACATGTAACTGTGAGCCGGGTTACACTGGAGCCAATTGTGACATTGGTATGTTAAGACAAACTTCTGTAAGGGACACATTTGAAAAAGCATGGAAAATATTGCTTAGCAAAAATAAAATAAGTCAAAGCAAAATAAAAGTTCAAAGTGTAATATAATGTATAGACTAATTCGGCCAACTAAAATTAGAAGTTATTTTCTGTGGTCACGAATCGCGCTCAGCTGATACACATGCACTCTAGGCTCCTTTCAGACCAATAGGGTAATACCAACATGCGCACTTTGTCTTTAAGAACCCATGCAGCATGCTCACAACATGGTTTCACCAAATTAGTTGATATAGTTCATTACTGATTCTCAGATGTGATGATATGTATTTAGTAGGCAAACAGCTCTTACTAATTTGATGATTTGACATAAAGCAGTTATGTGCAAAGTTAGCTCAGTACAGAAGAGGATATCCATCAAAATGCATAGAATGTGCATCGCTTGTAAATATTTGTCAGCTGACTTTTGTTCCAAATACATTTTCTCTTAATACAGTGTTTTGTTTCCAAAACTTGTTGCTAAGGAAGAAAGTTTGCTGGGCAGATATTCAAACTTGATTTGCTCAACAAACTTATCCCAGAATCAGTTAGAACGCGGTTTCACGTATTTTGAAAGTGCACATTCTTAAATTGTGTTGCTGAAAGCATTTGAGCATGATTTCCCCTGCTCATCAGGCATACAAAATATTTCCTAGTACATCTGTTGCCTTTGCGTTTGATTTTGTAAAAGTATAGCAAATATTTTAAGAACCGTTTAAACGTTTAGCCATTCACAAAGGCTGATGCATGCCCATTATGTCTGCAGACCGGCATGATAAATCAGTAGTGGCAGGCATTGAAAAAGTAAAAACTTTACTACGTGTGCTCCAAGTGTTGAAGTGCTTTGAAGGTTTTGTAAATTAAATAGGTTTAAAAACATTGTTAATTCTTTGTGCTATGTAGATTTTACTCATGTATAATTCGGGTTTTGTTTAAACGTATTTGGAAAATTTGGAAAAGAAAACGTGTAAATGTCACATCCTTAGTTGCCTTAAGAGTTTATTCAACTTGATGCTGAATTTCTATCTGATTTTATTCCTGGTACCTTTTGTTTCAACTTTATTTGTAGACATTGATGAGTGCGGCAGTTTTCCCTGTCAGAACGGTGGCAATTGCAACGATAGTGTCAACTTTTATGAGTGTCAGTGTGCCGCGGGATATACAGGATTCAATTGTCAGATAGGTATGTGGATGTATACAGCGGTCTTAATTGTCACTTTGAAATGTAATGGATTTGGGCTGAGAGTAGTTACGCTTTCTTTAAGTCTTTAATCTTTCTTTATGTGTTTCTTTTTTTCTTTTCTTTTTTGTCAACAATTGTCATTTCTCTTTTTAGAAGAAATAGTTGTCCTGAAAAGGACCGTTTTGTTTAACTTCTTTGATGTTTATTGTTCTGCTCTGCCCTCTACTTGGTTGCCTTTTTCTCAGCTGCAGGTTTCACATCTTGTTCTTGTTTCAGCAGTCAAGCATCAGTCGCCTTGAACAAAATGAAAAAGCCACATTTTTTTAAATTAACAATAAATCAATCAATATATTTCCAATTGGAAATATTTTGTTGTTGTTGAAAAGCTAATGAACTTTACTTGTTAAATGTGTATCAGTATTTGCGATCTATTTTTTAAAAAGCTGCGTAAAAGAGGGTGCTTTGAGGGTTCGGGGTTTTGGGGACACCGTGTACATGTGGATGTGTATGCAGTTTCCCCATAGGTATTTGCTGTGAATGTGTACTCTAAATTTGTCTAGGAATGGGTATGTTTTCTCCGTGGTATGTGGATGTATACTTATAAAATCCCCCCTGTTTGGTAGAGCTATGGTTTACTGATTAAATCAATTTGTTAAATTGTTGTTAAAGATATTAATGAGTGTGCCTCCAATCCCTGTGCCAACGGAGCATGCAACAACTTGATTGGTATCTACACGTGTTCCTGCAATGCGGGCTGGACGGGAACTAATTGTGATGAAGGTAGGCTTTTACCAAGGAAAACTATGAACGATCAATAATTTTGGTAATTAACTGTATGATGCTGTACCATTTGTTTTACTTTGGGAAACTAATTAGGTGTTGGGCTGAAGCCAACACCTATTGTTATTCTACGAATTTACTATTATTAGGTGTTGGGCTATGAGTATTGTTAAAGGCATTTGGAAGGCTTGGGGGAAAAAAGAATCCTAAGAAGAATCGTTTATTTGTAGTAGTTTCCTATTTAGACAAGGAATGAAGTGATGGGTGTATTTTATATTAAGATAGGTGCCAAAATACAACAATAATGGATATCTTTTTTTTTTAAATAAAAAAATCAAATTGCTTTGGTATTAATAACTTACCCTGTCAATAATATGAATGTGTGACACATTATTTTGCTGTTGCTTTCAATGTGTTACTTTAATTATTTGCTTAATTTCCAATTTGTGAGATTCAAAGTTATTTATCACTGTTGTGGGTGCGTGATTTACTGAATCACTTTTGTGCTCTCTCACATTTAGATACGAATGAGTGTATGAGCAACCCCTGCTTCAATGGAGCCACATGTGACGACCTTGTCAATAGCTATCGCTGCCTGTGTGCCCCAGGCTGGTCTGGACTGCGCTGTGTTATGGGTGAGTCATTGTCAAGTCATTTCAAACATTCCCAGGATAAGAGTTAACTATAGAGACTCTCAGCTTGCAGGATAGTTGTCAATCTACCTGGTCAGATTACAGGAATATAGCATCATTTACATTTATCACACAAGTAACTCACCAAATTATTATCAAAGAGATTACTGGGGTTACTGTACTAAATACCATATGAAATAAATCCGTCTCTCTTGCTGTCATTTTAGAAGAAGCCAATAATCGTGATTTCCAATGATCAGTCAATTCACTGAATGTTGTTGGAATAAAGAGTTCTATAGATGGAACAGGTTTTGACATTTTCCTTTGGATTTTGAGTGGTGCTAAAATTGGAAACGAACGAAACGCATAAAAAAAGCATATGGTCCTATATGGGCTTCTTGAGCAACAAGAGAGGGTGCTTTTTTACCATTTCTGAGAGCCTAATGGACGGGACACACCGAGTGCACGTACTAGTCCAAGCACGTATGGCGTGAAGTACACACAGCTCATTTTATCCTGAATATGCAAAAAGTCATAGCGTCTTTGCGTGAGTGTCAGGCGTCATGGGCAATGTGTTCGAACGTCTTTCCAAGTGGTCTCCCCCAACTCTCCCAATACCTTCAAAGCCAGACTTCTCAAATCCTTAAAAATCCCCTGACTAGTTTGAAAGATTTCAACCGATTGGGGAAAGTGCAGGCTATCATTGATTACTTTTACAAAATACCAGTAGTTGTTACCCTTTCAAAGTTATATTCATAGAACATGCTGTTGGGTTGTTGAGCAATGAAGGATTTTGGAAGATTCATGAAGGAATGTGGAAAATGTTTTCAGACAGAGCTAGGGTATTTTTAATGCGTTTCATTCAATGGCAAGACTCTCCATTTTCAATTGCAGTGATCTTGTTAGACAAGGAAGTTTCAGAATGGAATTATTGGTGTTTTTTTATGGAAAAGTATGGCGCGTTTTGGTAAATTTTTGGGTTGTGCATTTATTTTGTGTGTTTTGAAGTTATTTATTATTTTTAAACAAGAAAGATGTACCTTCAGTTTTATGTACAGAAATTTATTAAGTTGGATTTGAATACAAGATGTTTTTAGTTTTTGTCTTTGTCCTTTTTCTGGCAGATATTGATGAGTGTGAGTCCTCACCATGTCGCAACGGTGGTGCATGCTCCAACCTTGAGAACCGCTACGAGTGTATCTGTCTGAGTGGCTTCACGGGTGACAACTGCCAAATATGTACGTTGTGTGGATTGTTTATTCTGTGTGAAGGCTGGTTCATTCATGGTGCAAAAAAGGCAAATTTGTGATGCATCAGCAAGTTTTCGCGGCCTGATTTTTAAAAAATTTAGCAAATTTAAACACTGGCAAATTTTGCTGTGAATGTTTCATGGCGCCATATTGTTTTGCCATTGCATTTGCATGAAATATGAGTAGAACTTATTACTCTTGAACACTTGGAAGCAGAAACTTGTGTGACTTTTATCTGAAAACTAGCTTGGGATAGTCGGCACTTGTTTTGTGTGGTTTCATCTCATCAAGTTTCATTCATAGAGGCCATTGCACCATTGACATTCACTACTACAAACAGTTCACAGATTGAATGAATTTTAAAGGCTGGTTTACACTCTCAATTTACATGGAAACAGAACACATTTGAATGATGGAACATTTGCCAAGAAATCCAACATAATTAAATATATCCAGTTATTGCAAATTCCAGCAAGTACTTGTCATGAATTGTTACATTTGCTTTTGCATTGAATGTAAAACAGCCTTAGAGAAACAAAATTAGAGAACTAAAATCTAAAAACACCAGAAGTAATGTGCTTCTTTGTTAATTTGTTATTTGTTGTTTGCGTGTGTGTGTTCATCATTTGCAGCCCTTGATAGATGTGACAGCTCTCCATGCCTCAATGGCGGCCTGTGCTACAGTGAAGTCAATGGCTTCATATGTACCTGCAAGGCTGGCTTCACGGGACAAAACTGTGAAACAGGTAAAAGTCAGTCACAAACCAAATCTTAAGCAACATGGGATGAACAATGACAATGCCATATTCAGTTAAGAAACTAGTCATTTAACTTGTGATAAAATCACTTGTGATGACATGTAATTGACTACATTACAAAATCCGGTCATAACTTTTGCAGAGTCTTGGATGATAAAAGAATGAAATACCTTTGGGTTGAAACAAAAAAACAGCCATGTTTGTTTGATATCAAGTTTTGAAACATTTTCTTTTTTCTTTCAATTTTTCACTCCAGAAATTAGAGAGTGTGACCAGGACCCCTGCCGCAACGGTGGGACATGCATCGATGGCTTGGACTCTTTCACTTGTGTCTGTCCGTCGGGCTGGACCGGCTCCGTCTGTGACTCTAACATCAACGAGTGTTTCAGTCAACCCTGCGAGAATAACGGTGTCTGCAATGATGAGATCAATGGGTTCAACTGTGCGTGCCCTGATGGCTACACTGGATCACTCTGTGAGATTGGTAAGAAGCTTGTTGTTTGTCTTCCTTTCAGTCCGGTGTTCTGGAGGTCACAGGTTCTAATCCCTCTCCGGTCAATGTCTTTGTTAATGTGATTAAAAACTAATAGTTTACCATTGTGATTAATCACCGCTGTACAATTGAGTACAATTTATAAGATGGAATTTGATGTCGGGTGATGTAAACACCTTGTAATAACTCTTTGTACAATGTATTTTTTTCAACATCAAACAGCTCCGAGGCCAATATTTGGATGAATACTTTAAAGTAAGTAGCGCTTCAAAACGCTACTTACAGTTACCAAGATAACATACATAAAGCTGCTGAAAACTATTTGTCTGCTATTCTGCTTTGTGCAAATCACCTTTAGTGTTGATTTGGAACACTTTAAGGCCCTGTCACACTGTGACGTTCTGGTATGGAGTTCGTACCGCGACCAAGAAAATTGACTAAAACGCGGTGGGAACGCAGATGACGGCGTGGGGACTCATTGATACTAGTTGAGGACTTCAGAGGGACTCCAAGGACTTTGCTGAACGCCAAAATGCCATGTTCGTTTTGGACATGCACAAAACAAACGCCGCGCCTCGGCGTTTAGACCAGAACGTGGTAAGGACTCTGCGCGAACTCCTCGCGAACGGCCGTGACGTACTGACAACGCGCAAGCAGACGGGAGTGACGTTGGAGAACTCCACGGACGTGCATGGTGACGCAGAGTGCATGGTGACAATCGCCCGTTTTTGCCCGAGTATTTATTCACCCCACCCTTCTGGCTGCTGACGTCACACGTACGTTTTAAGGTCACATCAAGCGCGAGATAAGGACTCCAAGAACGTTGTACGAACTTGTTGGACGCCATGAGGGCACAGTGAGGCCGCAGAGGACGCCGCGCAGACTTCTATTTGGCTCCTCAAAGGAACACACAGAGTGCACCACACGGACGTTCTAGACTTCCCGTGGACTTCACAGAGACGTATCTTTATCTCTCATGGATGGCTTGCAAGCCACTGGCGCCATGAATCCTGCGTCTTCATGGCGTTTTATTACATTTTTAAGAATTTCAACAAATCCTGCGTCTTCATGGCGTTTATTACATTTTTAAGAATTTCAACAACGCAATATGAACGTCATGCATGGATGTGACAGTTTGACAGGGCCTTTAATGAAAGAAATATTTGTAGTGTAAAAAATTGACTTGTATTCTTCACCCCAAATAGATGTGATGGAATGTGCAAGTAACCCATGTGTCAATCAGGCCACGTGTTTGGAGAACTTTAGAATGGCAGGGTACCAGTGCTTCTGTCATCCAGGCTTCACAGGCATCCACTGTGAAATAGGTAAGACGCACTAGCACCGTAAGTGAAGTATCTTCACTGACTATAGCAGTCAATTTTGCCCTAACGGTGAGTGTATTTTAGGTATTAATAAGGATACTATGGTAGCCTAGAATAGGTAACCTATTGCATAAACATCTCTCTGTTTTTACTACACGCAGACATTGATGAGTGTTCATCTAACCCATGCATGAATGGTGGAATCTGCTTTGATGGGATCAATGAGTTTACCTGTACATGCCCCACTGGCTGGACAGGAGCCGTCTGTGAAACAGGTGAGCTGTGTCATTATTCATTATGTCAGCAGTGCAGATAATGTTATCTGACAGATAGATATGACTTAAACATTGATGATTTGGTGCCGAGAGCAGATGCAATATTTCTGTAAAATACTGCTTTGTGCCATTTTCTGTGTTCAATTAGAAACCTTTACAAATGTACCAATTCAGTTTCTCCGTATGGTTCATTTCATAGAATGAGGCCCAGTAAGGATTACTTAGTCATTCATCAATTGTTTAGTCAGTTACTTTGCCCAAAATCCATATTTTTTCGAAATTCTTTTTCCGGCCGAAATCGGTTAAGTGAACAGCAACGAATGTTTTAACAAATTTGTTTGGTGAAAACGCTGACAATTTGTTTAATCTTAACCATAGGCAGAAAGAAATAATTAATCATTTCAACAATCATCGAGTACTTCTGGGCAATGGTGGAAGCAGATATTTAAACGTGTAACTTTAAAGATGCATACCCTGCGCTCTTCAAAAAATGGATATTTTTTTCTCTTGCGGAATTTTCAATGTGTATGTTTTGTTTTAAAGGTAGAGTAGATCATTTGCAGGTATCCAAAAAGTAACTGACAAAATTATTGTTGAAAAACTTGCTTGATTTTAATGGGGATGGCAATAAACTCCCTCCTAAATTATTAAATTATTTTTTTTTGGCATGCTGTCATTTTGAAAAAAAACAATAAAAGAAGATCATTTCCAAAGATGCGTCAAGTTACACATTTTTGGAAATTTTCGTTGTACAGTTGCTATTATTCGTTGGTTCATTGTGTGACATCGCGTAGCTGCAATCAGGTGCATGAATATGTGTCCCCGATGCTGATTTTGGGCACAATTTAAAACATGACTTGGCAACTTTTGAATTGAAATAAAGATCCTAGAATGTTGGTTTCTTGGAATATACAGCATTCACAGAGGTAAAAGTTCATCAGGTTAGTTGTTAAGAACCTGTCTTAAGATTTTGAGCACTTTTGTCGCTTCAAATGAAAAGAAATGCATGAATAACAAATGATCTACCCTACCTTTAACGAAAAAAAACCTGCTTTATTCTGAAATTGGGCATCTGAAACCCTCTAAAAAGGGTTTTCATTTTGTGCACAAATAACCCACCCTGAAGAATCCAAATTATTATCACGCAGCCAATAATTCAAATTTAGTGAAGAAATATTTCAATAACTTTTTTGGGTTTTTGGTTCAATGTGAATAACATTTATATCGCTGGGAAAATTAGCAATTGAAAAATACAAATCTATTTTTTTGAGGTGAAACTCAAAAATTGCAAGGGGAATGCAATCAATGCATCTTCAATTGAAATCCGATCATTCTCTCTTTTCCTCCATCGTCTTCTCTCCATCTGTTAATCCTCCCCCCTCCATCAGCCATCGGCTGCCGGAATAACTTCACTGTCCCTGTGGATGGCAAGATTGAGCTGCACTCCCCCAACTACCCCTCCAACTACCGCAACCAGGAGGAATGTCGTTGGTACATCCACAGCGGCGCCCCTGGCCGTACACTGACCATCCAGATCTTGGACTTCATTACTGAGAACCGCTATGACACGCTGAAGATTGGGCTTGGGGATAACATCCTAGACCAGGGCACGGTGCAGGTAGAGGCCTCAGGAACCGGAAGGCCTGACGGTTTTTACACCAAGAGTAATATGATGTGGATTACTTTCTTCACCGACTCTGAGAAAACGGAGAGAGGGTTCTCAATTGAGATTCTTGACGAGGGATACACAGGTACACAAACTTGATTCCTTTTTCAGTGATTTTCAACAGTAAATCATAGCTATTACAAAAGGAATAAAATAGTGATATTGTCTAGAGACCCTATGAAAGGTACAGCTTGTGAATATTGGCCTTTAAACTTTTTTTTTTCCTTGATTCACAATTTGAACAAAACACCAGTTTTTATCAAGCAGTATGTTGACTTTGTTTATAAAGTTGTAAACCTGAATATATTAATTCCTATTCATAAATACCTCAGACAGTTTAACCATACCTATTGGTCGAGAGCCCGTCACATGGCCTGTCTTAAAGCCCGTCACGAAACCGGATGGCTGGTCTTAAACACTTTTCCAGTGTCACATGAAATTTGGACTCTATGAATTCTGGTGCCTTTTACCGTTTTACTGGTTGAACATTCACAATCCTCACGTAGGCATGGGCAGTACTACCAGAGAGTCACAATTTCATAGTCCTACATTCAAAATACACCAGCACAGCTACTTTGAGCACCACATCACGCAGTATGCGCGACATGCGCGCCAAACTCTATATAAGGTGTTGTTTACGACACTCGCGAGACTGGACATACCATTATATAGCTAGAGGGGTGTCCCGAAAAACATGAGGTGAACTTCTTGAAAAAAATCGTTGGAAATTTATAATTTCTGACTTGTTTTGACTTTTGGACCGAAAAGTTTTGATTATTTGACCGAAAAGGTATTTATGAATGGGAATGAATATGTACTCGGCTGGTATTGAACACTTTTTTTAAGACCGGTTGGAGTCTGGATGCTGATAATTACCCTCGCCTTCAGCTCGGGTAATTATCAGCATCCAGACTTTAACTGGTCTGAAACAGAGTGTTTCAATCGGCCAAGCACTTCTCTCAATTGCCTTCAGAATGTTCTTATTTTTACTTTTTAAATGACCTTTCATTTTCATCAGTAAACAAAACAATGAATTTCAGGGCAATGCGTTGTTGACATTCATGCCCATTTTCCTCAGCTCTCTTTACCATTTTTAGCAGGGCTGTGTATTCTTTCCCCACCACCACCCAAATGGAAACTTTAGGGTGCTTTTATGGTTTAAAATTTGCAGAACATCTTAAAATCTTAAAGTTTGCTTCAGGAAAGTAGTGGGTAAAGGAACTAGCAAGGTACTTGTTTGCTACTGAAGAGGCTGTTCCTAATTGATGGTTCATGCAAAAACATTTTTTTAAATAAACCTATCCTTTGATTGGTTTGGATTTGTTTCGTCTTTTTTCCTTCTGTCATCCAACCATCACTCACTCACTGAGTAGATTAAAACTGTCCAACTGTCAAAAGCTGAGCCGCTTTGGGTGAATTATTTTGTGACCACAAACGTAAAAAAAGAGTTATACCTGATGGAAGTTACTGTTTTCTTTTCACACCGATTACTTTTGAATCCGCTTTGACTCCATGGGCACGTGCGCATTCCTTCACTAACCCCTGGCCGTGATGAACACGTAAACGACGTTGACCGGCTATTCAGAGCGAACTGTGCGTGTATTTCAAAGACTGCTCGCGCGCTATGCACGTCATGTCACGTATGAACATTATTTTTCAAAACTGTGCGATGCCGTTATGATATGGATTATGGTAGCCTCGTTTTCGCCCCCCAAAAAACCTGTATCTTTGGTTGTAAAGGGACGAAAGAGGTATGAACATTTAATACAAATCCTTGCAAAATAACGCGACGTCGAAACCTCATGTTTGAAAGGATTGATTTTTCAAAAAACCAACTTTCAACATTTTAAGAGCCGTGTCACGCGTTGGATACATCGACTGCAGTCCTAATTTAAATGTGACACTGTTTGACACATTTAAATTAGACAATTCCAGGGGTTAAGATCGCTCAAGGCATGATGGGAAACAACATGGTGCAGCAAGATCACACCCATGGAAACGAGATTGATTTTGAATGTGAAGATCCAAAAGCCCTTATTCTTGAAAATATACATGTTGTTTTGTGTTTGTGTGATACAGATGTGTTACCATGCGACAGGGAACCATGCATAAATGGCGGCACCTGCTCTAACGGAGAGAACAGTCTTTTCCTTTGCACTTGCACTGAATATTGGATGGGCCTTAACTGCCAGACACCAACGGGTAAATTAATCTGTCTGTATTTCTAGCCTACCTCTCAGATTTATAAAAAGGTTCTTTCAAGATGAGTATTTGTTTTTAGGGCCTGTCATTATTGTTAATGTGTGGTCATACATTTTTAAGAGGTGTGCACAAAACAAAATTAAACAAGACTAGGCGAACCTAGTAAACCTTCAGCTGATTTCACAAAACCTTAAGCAATGACGCTACTCCGCTTGCGCCACAATTTATTTTGTATTAAAAGTTGTGCAATATTTCACGCTGTACAACATTTCATGTATGACACTTTTCAAGAAAGTCTCACAGTGCATAAGTCCGTAAGCACTGTCGATAAAAGAATCTTCAATAATCGATATATCGGAAATCCAATATCGAGAATATTCAATATATCGATTATCCCATGAATGAGTGAAGTCTATTAAAAAAAAAGGGGGTTTGCATTATACTGGAGACCACGAATTCCAGCGAACGCAAATCACAAAGCGTCGCCACTTAGCATTTCGCGATGTTCTCACTCACAAACACAATTTGCCACCGACTTTTATTCCATTATACAGCAAACATTAAACACAAATTCATAAATACCTCAGACAGTTTAGCTATTCCTATTGGTCGAGAGCCCGTCACGTGGCCAGTCTTAAACGGATGATAAAGACATGGCTAGCTGGTCTTAAACACTTTTTCAGTGTCATATAAAATGTGGACTCCTAAAAATCCAGTGCCTCTTACCGTTTTATTGGTTGAACGTTCACAATCCTCACGTAGGCATGCGCAACACTACCAGCCAGTCAGAATTTTATAGTTCTAAATTCAAAACGCAACACCCCAGGTGCGTTCTGCGCGACATCACGCAGAACATGCTACGCGCCCGTCAATCTCCATAAAAGGGTTGTTTACATCTTACTCGCCAGCTGAACACTCCATTATTTTGCTAGAGGGATGTTTAAAAAAGCATGAAGTGAACTTGTTGAACAAAATCGGGATTTTTTGAACGAATTATTTGATATTTTTTTACGGATAAGGTATTTATGAATGGGAATAAATATGTGCTCGGTCGGTATTTATCACTCTGTTTAATACCGCTTAGAGTCTGGGTGCTGATAATTACCCTCGCCTCCGGCTCGGGTAATTATCAGCACCCAGACTCTAAGCGGTATTAAACGAGTGATAAAAACCTCCGGAGCACACATTTATTCCCTTATTAAAAGCACAAACGGGAGATTTATTTTGACGATAATTTAACACATTTTGATACTGTTGATATCATTCCTCATTATCGAAATTTTTGATATTTTCGATATTATTTCTGAATATCAAAATTTTTGATATTTCAATGTGATGAAAAATATTATATCGGTGATATCGATATCAAAACAAAATCGAGTAATTGTGTAATATCAATATATCAACGGTGCTTATAAGTCTGCGACTTGCGCAATAAATATGGAGTAACTTGCGCAGTCATTTTAGGTGGCGTAAGTTGTGGCGTAGCAACTGAATACGACCTATTTTGCAAGTAACTTGTAATCGTCATGGAACCTGTCATTACACAACTTTAATGACAAGGTTGATACAAGACACTCACAGCTTTGTGTTTGAGGTACATTAATTTCTATTTTACTTGTGGCAGAATTTTTATAGTTGCCACATGATTCCGAAAACAGTCGGACAACATTATTCTCAATATGGTAGGCTATTTAAAACGTTGCGCAGCTCTGCCAAGTTTTGTGAAATCAATCGTAACTTTATTGCGCAGTTGCACAACAAATTTGTTGTATAAGTCCTATACGCAGGGCACCAGTTGCACATTTTTTCATGAAATCGGCTGCTGTTTCCCGCAGTGCACAATATCCTCTTCAATTGATTCATGATGGCTGTTCACTGAAAGTCTTGTCATGCATCTGATCTACACAGAGGGCTACATTTAGCCCATTCATTGGCATTACAGGGTAACACTATACAACAGCACTGCCCAACTCACAAGTGACTGTCAGTAAATCAGTCAGCAAGATAGGTACAAACGGTACACTAGCATGACCCTCTGGGACCAATTAGAATGGCACCGATGATTAATGTCATATGACCTGTATGCTGTGGACGAATGTAACTGAAACAAACTTCTGTTTGTTTTATTTGCCTTTTTGAAGAGTTGAACAAGTGTGGCAACAACCCATGTCAGAATGGCGCGCCATGTACAAACTCTGGAACGGACTACTCCTGCGACTGCCCCACTGGATTTGTAGGCAAAGACTGCGAGCAAGGTAGGTTTTCCGTTGTTAAAAAATGGTTGAATTTCTTATATTTGTAATCAACAAGATCAGTGATGTAGTCTTATTTTCCTGATTACACAAAATTACTCAAGTATGAGAGCTGCATGCATTCTCCAGTTGTTGATGAGTTAGTTTCCAGAAGTACAAGATTGTGTATGAGTATACAAAAAATACTTCAGAATGTAATATAACTTTTTGTTGGAAATGTTGCCTATTTTGTTACCAGATATTAACGAGTGTCAGTCCAATCCATGCATGTACGGAGGGACCTGCGTGGACCTTGTGGGCCATTTCGCCTGTATCTGCCCACCTGACCACGCTGGGGAAACCTGTGAAAATGGTAAGATCAAAGGCAATTTGCTTTTACTTCGGAGGCTCAATTGTATGGAGATGCATTGAAGAATATATTGTTTAGAACATTTGCATGCTCAACTAAACATGATATTTTGATTGGTAACCTATTTGGCAAAAGGAAACTCTTCAGGCTAACCCAAACACCCACTAATCCTCAACCCCATAACACCCAAACCCCAACCCCCTACCCCAACTTAGTCCAAAACCCTTCCCAAAGTAAAACTCCAACTCCAATCTCAACCCTATCTCTAACCCCAACCCAACTTCAACCCCAACATCCACCTTACTCCGTCTCCAACCTCAACCCCCTACCCCTTCCCCAACTTCAATCCAAAACCCTTCCCAAACTAAAACTCCAACTCCAACCTCAACCCTATCTCTAACCCCAACCCAACTTCAACCCCAACATCCACATCAACCCAACCCCATCTCCAATGCCAATCCCAACCGCAACCCAAACTTTAACCCAATTAACCCCAACCCCATTTCCAAGCCCAACTTCAACCCAAACCCGAGCCCCACCAACCTCAGTCCTAACCCCATCTCTAAATCCTACTCCAACTGTAACGCCAACCCCAACCCCAATCCCTACCCATCCCCATCCTCAAACCCATCCCCATCCTCAAACCCAGCCCCATCCCAAACCCCCAAACCTAAATAAACACAAATCAACCCAATCCCATCCCAACACAAATGCATCCCCAACCCCAAACCAACCCCACCCAACCCCCAACCAAGCCTAACTTTTCCATCCAATAAAATGACCCAGCCCAACCCAAACATTATCTGATCCGTTGTTGATGTATGGTCTGATTTCAGCTCCCCAGCCTGCTTCCTGTGATATCAGCTATTGCATGAGTAACGGCGTCTGCACCTACTTCAATGACACATACACATGTACCTGTGAGAATGGCTATGGTGGGAAGTACTGTGAGATTGGTAAGTTAGGCAAATTGTTGACCTACAAACACATCTGGACAGATCAGAGCAAATGTTATCCCTAGTTGTTTTTTGTTTCATGCTCACCTGAAGCTTAGATAGAAAATTAAGCCTTGCCTCTCCCCGTGTTTGGACCCAACGCCACAGAGACACAAGAACTGTGCCCATATCCCCCACTTTCAGAGAAGCTCTGCTGCTGCTTGTATTTAACTCTAGTGAGTTGTAATGATGGCCAAACATTGGGCCCAAATAATTATTTGCAACCGGTATCGATAGACAGGAAAAGTTTGATACTGTGGCATGCAGGACTATTTAGACCATAACCAAAGGGGATTTTAGACCCGCTTCACTGGAGAAATTTGTTGGGATTATGGTGAGAGGCAATATTATTATCTATCATGTTGATGTTATTTTCTTAAAGCCAAAGGTTCTTCAAATGCATCCCATGCACTGTGACTCAAAAGCTTCAGTTTCAGGATAATAGGCCTTGAGTGAACCAGAAGTTGCATGTTCAGAATGTTATATGTTAATTTGAATGATAATTTGAATATTGATACTTTCTTGATTGCATTGCAGATTACGACCCCTGCCGCCGTGCCCCTTGTATGAACTCGGGCATCTGTCACAACGTGACAGGGAGTCCTGGAGGATGGAACAGCTTCATCTGCGAATGCCTTGATGGATTCATCGGATCCCACTGTGATATACAAGGTGAGTGGAGGACAATTATCTGAGTCGTCTGGGAAATATATGAAAATTACTTGAAGATGGTGAGGAAGATCGAGGCAAAGTACAGAAAGAATGTACTCATCAAAACATGTCTCAGGCAAAAGTCATCTTTCTTTAATAACACCTCAAAATGTAGATTCAGTCACTTGATTGGCTGAGAGTGCGTCATGTGGGATTCACCATATTGCGTTCATGGCCAAAAGACTATACAATGGTCAAAAAGACTTATACAATGGCTGAAAAAGTACTGACGCATTGACACCAATGTAGCAACTGAAGGTTTGTTTGAACATGCATTTGCAGGTGTATGTGTTGCACATACTGTTCTCATGCGCTACAGAGTAGGGTTGAACAATTTTATGAAGGGGTAGTTTGGGAAAAGTGCAAGTGAATTTTCAACTTATTTCATACTGTAGAGGAAGTACAGTTACCTCTCAAAATCAGGCAGAATCTGTGGCTGACACAAGTAATGGCTGCTTTAGGTAGTGGTGTAGTAATTGGCCTCCTTCAATGATCCATGGTGTGTTCCATTTTCTTCGGCTGAGAATGCTCCATGGATCACCTTGGGAGGCTAGTTTTACCTTACCACTCTAAGCAGTCAATAATTATATACTGTGATTCATGCGTACCTTATAAAAAGAGATGTATTGTTGGAAATCTCCAACTTCAAATGCTGACCTCACCAATTCCATGAAATTTTGCCCAAGTAAGTAAGATAGCGGCCCATGCTCTCTCCCCCCCCCCCCTTCAAGTTTAAATTTACATTACAGCTTTTGTTATGTGGTGGCAGTCAACAAGTGTTACGTGATTTTGATTCAAGATTTTCATTGTGCTTATATTTGCAGAGACTACCGATTGCATCTATGCCAACCCATGTGCTGCCGAGGCTACCTGCCAACATTCCAAGGGAGAGTATACGTGTTTTTGTCCGCCAGGCTATGACGGCACATTCTGCCAAAATGGTGAGTTAAGCACGCGTAACAGCGCAACATCAAACTTTTCCATAATGAATCTGTTTTCCATTGGATTAGACTATTTAGTACGTTAAAGATTGAAAATATCTAGCACTTTTTCACGATTCGGGCAAACTGTTGTAACTGTGGATGAGAATGATTCAGTACAATCATGACCATTCCAGGCATGAAAATGAAATCTTACTCAGAATTACATTATGGGCTCTGCGCACAAGTACCCCCCTCAAAAGTTTTAGCAGTTTTACTTTTGTACACCATTAAATATCTTTGCAAAGACACTACGGTAATACAATTCTGACTACAGGCTTTCTGTAAGTTTACAATAACGTTTACTTGACAGTCTTTTTTTTCCTCCAAGTTGTTACAGTCTTTCTGGTTTGTAGCTTCAAATTTCTGAAACAGGTGTTTTTATCAGAACTTTAATGATACAGTCTATCATTTGTAATTTGTGCATTATGTGAAGGGTGCTTAAAAACTACCCTGATGAAGTTTTAGCTCAGTGAATGCTGTATATTCCGAGAAAAACAATATTTTAGGATCTTGATTTCAAATCAAAAGTTGCCGAGTCATGTTTTGAATTGCGCCAAATTCAGCTGATTGCAGATACGCGATGTCGTGCACTGAACCGATGAATTACAGTGCACGTGTCGTCGTGTCAACGCAGGCGCGCTTTGTCTAATTAAAAACGAACTACTGATGGAAATTTCCAACGATGCGTCTTTAGACGCATCGTTGGAAATGGTCTTCTTTCATTGTTTTCCTCAAAATGACAGATTGCCAGAAGGAATAATTTTCACAGGCAGTTTAGTCCCACTATCTTTTAACCGAGTTTGCTTTTGAACAATAATTTTGTCAGTTACTTTTTGGATAGCTTCAAATGATGGACTGTAGCTTTAACTTTTAGCGTTCTTTTAAAAGTGAAATTGCCTTTTTTCTCTCTTGTTATTTCTGCAAAGCCACTTGCACAGATTTCTTACAGTTTATTTATTTGTGCATGTATTATTATTTTTCCCTGGTGCTAATCTGTTTTTTGGTTTATCTTGTCTTGACGCAGATATTGATGATTGCGCTATAACCAACCCCTGTAATGGCAATGGTGTCTGCATTGACAGAGCCAATAGCTACAGCTGTGAATGCAACAGTGGCTTCAATGGAGTACTCTGTGAAAACGGTAAGTTGATGTGCAGTGGTATGGTGTTGCAAGATTCATGTTAGTGAATCCATGTTGAGTTGTAGTAATGTAGTCAGGAGCTGTTGCTGAAGCAGTCAGTGAATCGGACATAGCTATTCTTGCACACCAACTCCAACTATGGAGGAAAATGAGCTTTTCAATCTCAATGTTCATCATAGTTCACTCAAGTCATTCATGTTTTTAACATTTACAGTTTCCGCAGCCGTACATTATCAATATCAAAAAACAAAGTTCCATCACTTGCCAAAGTTTTTTTGGAAAAAGCAAAGCAAATCAACTGATTTAACAGGTTTTAAATGGAACCTTTTCAGTAATTTCTCATACATGTCAAAAACAGAGTATGGTATATTTTACTCTTCCACAAGTTGGGCTTAGTTTGTTGCATAAGATTATACTTGCAAAACAGACAAATGATGTCAGGGAACCACTCCAAAGTGGAAAATGTTAATGCGAATGTTCCTGTTAGATTACTTCCTGTTCCATTGGAAACACAAGCTATGATCATGTCACTTTTACGTCATATATGCGTGTGGCCCGTATTCTGTAGTGAGTTCAGGTCTTCAGTCTACAAACTTCACTGGTAAACCTACCAAACAGAGACAATACCTTACAATTACTCTCCTTGTGATCGACAGATATCAATGAGTGTGACCCCAATCCGTGCCGTAACGGTGGACAGTGCACTAACGGCAAAAACACCTTCGTCTGCAACTGTATTGAAGGCTTCCGGGGTGACATCTGCAGTGTAGAAGGTAAGCCTTGACGATCTTGGACATTCACACAAGTTACTTCAATATTTAGGCTTACGCCAATTGTTCAAAGTCAAGACTTTTGTGTGACACACTTGTGCAGATCAGGAGGTTTCCATTGATGTTTAATACTGGGAGGTGTATACAGCTTCAATATGTTGTCCAAATGCAAAAAGTGATATCTTTAAAATCACTGATAAGATGTAAAGTGACTTTTCTGTGTGTTTTTGTGTGTGTTCATCATCAGTTGCTCATAGGAATCAGACTGCTATACTTTAGTAGCTGGTCTGTGTGGGTTGGTGCTATCAACCAGTGATACATGTAGATTGAACAAATCTGGTCATTTATGTTGAAGCTTGGTAATGCGATGAAGCTGACTTGTACTGTAAAGACAGATTCAGAAATCAACTCATGCAATATATAAATACAACGTGGTTAAAAAGGAAGTATTGAGAAATTACTGGTGTTGAGGCCTGTTAGCTGATCTTTTCAAAATCTGATATTATCTGATTTTATTAATATCATCCAGCACTGAGGGACCAGAAATTTTGCACTACTTCCCGACATGAACCATGCAGTATTCAATTTGTTACACCTCATACAGTATATTTAGGTTCATGAACAAGCGATACAAACACTTGACAGAAATTACATAATAATAACAGTGTAATTTGTCAGCCATCCAGGTTTTCAGAATGATGCCATTAACAATCAAACTTATGATCACTACTGTTACAAAGTTAGAAATCTAGGAGCTTACCGCAGGGTACTACTCCCATAGTTCTTCCAACCAGCCAGGAGATAGTACACAAGTCGTGGGTCCAAGATAGCTGCTGTAGCTTTCCAGACTTAAAAGAGACGCGTTTGGCTTGTAAATATGTACAATGTATAATAATGCTTTACTTATGTATTAAACCTGTAGCTAACCCTGTAGCCTCTGACCCGACCTACACCTGGATGGGTAATCGTATCAGTCTGCCACCCTGGGTGATTGGTATCCTGGCTGCACTGGTAATCCTCATCATCTTCCTGGTCCTTTTGATGCTGGTCCGAGGACGCCGCACCCAACAGTAAGTTCATATTAACCATTAGCACTTGAATTACATTGTGTTTATTCACTGAAAAAAATCAATAAAACCACAGAGTGAGGGGGCAGTTGGGGGTACTACAGTGACTAATGATTAATGATAAGAATACAAATGTGAACACGAATGTGATCTAAAAACAAATGTATTGTTAAATGGACTAGGCGATGAATTGTAGGTAGGGGAATGCAAGAAACAATCACCTGCACGCAGTGGTTCTCTGTTGTTCATGATACATTGCACAAATCCATATTTTCAGTGTAGACAAATCTGTAGTGTCTACCAATACTGGGACCTGGAGTGCTGAAAAACATGCAAAAGTAATTGAAGCCAACTTTACTCACTCTTTGGCTGACAACATTCTCCTTTACATGTACACTACACAAATTCTGCAAAGTTAATTCAGAGTCAGAATGTGCTTACAGTAGTGATGCAACAATGGAAAAACATCCGTGCACAAGCTTAATTGTGCTTACATAGGTTAGTGTGACCTTTCTGCTATAGTTTGCACCTCTTTTATGCTAACCTTTTCTGGCCTTATGAGCATAGACCAGTGCCCCTCAGTGAAAGAAACACCACCGAAGACATGTAATACTGGTTTTTGGAATGCATATGGTGTTTGATTAAGCAGTGTGTGGTGAGCTCAGCCTTCACTTTCCTTTCAAGTCTCTGTTCCCGCTTCAATTCTGGAAATTCTCTTTTTTTGTATAACCTTATAAAACCATTGTAATTCCTAGGCACATTTAGATCAGTCCTTAACTGTGTTCAGTGAAGCATGAAATAAGGTGGACAAGTTTGCAATCTGCATAGTATGCCATAACAAGGAAGGAATTTTTTAAGGTTTAGTGACTCTCCATAGGATACAGTTTCACTTTTTGTGTGCTAACACTTTGGTAAATTTCAGAAACAATTTGCAGCGTTTTTGAGTTTTCAAATTGAAGATTACATGTGTTAGTTTTTGACCGCATTCTTGAATGTATAAAAAAACACATTTTTGTATTGCCAAGTATCTAAAGTCAGGATTAAGATACGAAAAAACAACATCAAAACGTTTGTTTTCAAATTTTCCAAACTGTTTAATCGAAAGCCGAATTATAAGTTTGTTGAATGTTTAATCGAATTATAAGTTTGTCGAATGTTTAATCGAATTATAAGTTTGTCGAATGTTTAAATGTTTAATAGAAAGCCGAATTATAAAAAAGGGACGGGCTTCGATCCTTCTTGGATCTTCCTTTGAGTTAAAAATACATAGCACAAGTATTTATTGATGTTTTCAAACTCATTTAGTTGACAAAATGGTAGAAGTACTGCAGTATTTGATTGCATTCATGGTACACGCAGCTTAAGGTTTTGTGTTTTCAATGACAACCCCCCTATTTATTTTGTCGATCATTGTTGATTTATCATGTCAATTACCCCAGTCTAGGACTACAGGCATAGTGGGCAGGCGTCAACCTTTGTGAAATGGAGAAATATTTAAACGGTTCTTAAAATAGTTGCTTAATATTTACAAAAGTAAACACAAAGTCACATCCTTATATAGTCAGATCTTTAAAAAAATGTTATGCAAAGTTTGATGGAAATTTCGGCTTTGATACTAATGCAATGAATTTACATTTTGGTATCTTGAACCATATGGGTTTACACCATGACCTCTTTTCTCAAAACCCTAAGTCTTATTCCAAATGTTCATTACCAATCATTTTGCTCACTTACAATTACATTTTTTTCCTTCTGTTCTGCACTTTCATCTGCATCTTTGCTCTTTTCTTTTCAACCTTAAAATCTTCCTTTTTTGGTAAATTTTCCAGCCGTCGCCAGAGGTAAGTTAATTACCTTCTGTCCCTTACTCATTGTTCATTAATTGTTCAAACCTCCCCCCACCTTGTTCTTTGTCTTTCATTTCAACCCATTCTGCTGTAGACTGATCCTCAACACCCTCACTGCATTCAATGTGACATGTTCCAACAAGAAAACTTGCTCAAAATAGAAAGAAATTGACAGACGGATTGTGTCACATGACAGTGTATGAAACAGTACAATACAAGGAGAAAAAGCCAAATTTAACTCCAAAATTACTGAGAAAATTATAGAATGCTGTGTACAAACAGTATATGAAGAGCTTCTATTAAAAAAGTTCCACTCTCAAAACTCTCTAAAAAAAACAAAATTGTGATTTAGGGGATCGGTCTGTGAGTGCTGGTACTTGCCATGGTGGTTAGAGCGCCTTCACAGAGACTAACATAGGCCTGTCTGGTGTCGGTGGTTCTCGTTTAAAAAGTTACAGTTTTGTCCTTACAGTGGCCAACCAATTGTGGACACTGTAACCATCTTATTCCAGGAATGACTGTTGATTATGGAATACTTCACAAAAAGTGGTATGAACCAGAACATATCAAAATAATATGGAGTTCACCTCTGCGTCTTCTCAGAGCATTTTCTTGTAGGAACAGTCAGTTTACATGGTGTACTAGCAGCAAATTTATTCCAAGGCATTAACCATTGCCCTAACAATTGGAAGGCTTTATGTTTCTCATATGAGTCAATATCTGGATAAGATTGATTTTTTTTTTGTAAAATAAAAGTTCAGTATTCCCTTGTGTTTTTTTTTGTTTTGGTATTCAGACTATAATTTTAGGGAGCCAAGAAACCATTGATTTTTTAATACTACCCTGGGTTCGATTCATAGCACAGCTTGAAAGTTGTGCTATTTAGCTGGAAAGGAATTATTAACCTTCTGCATTTTTTTGCTAGATGCAGTGATTTATAACAATTTCAAGCAAATTTTGCCCTCTGAGCACACTTCATATGCTTTCTACTTACAATGTACATGATACGGACAGAGGTTACACATCAGCAGAACATTGTGCAGTTGGTCCCTGTTCTTAGTTTCTTATTCCACCTTCATGTGTCCAAAGTGGAATTTAATTTAGCTTGAATTTAAATTGAAGTCCCATCCTTTTAGTGTTTTAATTCACAATTGAGATATTTTTATTATTAGTTAGGCTTTTTTTGCTACATGGGCATTGTATCCAAACTTTGATTTCTTGAAAATCCAAATCCCTGCAAAATGAAACTATGTTAACCCACTCTACCTTGAAGCCATCAATTCCAAACAAAGGGATTTTTATTGGCAGTTTCATGGATTCAGGACTGTAGGCGTCAGACATTGGGCTTGAGCTACTTCTTTATCTTGGGCTTATTGTCCCTGTGTTGGTCGAAGTACATAATAATACAGTGTTCATGTTGGTCTGTGGCTGATTCTGGAAGGTGTCTAGACAAATTCTGCGATATTTAAACATTGAAACATGTGTGTGTTGTTCATTAATAAAGGCTTTCGTGTACTGTACGTAAATGATGATCATTTTGCTTCACTATTAGACATGTTTTTGAAGTATTAAACGTTTTCTGCAGTCATGTTTTTCATGCAAGGTTTACTGGAAAAATAATACATTTATTGCGGGATTAATGAGGGAATAGAGATTAAATGTATTTCTTAGTTTTTGTTGTCACCAACTTTGAATGTCAATTGATTTGAATTGAATTTGATGAGGGTCATTAGAAATAGACATAAGGGTCATTAGAAATAGACATAAGGGTCATTCCGTGTCCAATCACCCCCAAAAATTTAAAGTTTAAACCGCACCCCCTTCAAATTTGCTTATATCTAGTATCTGGGGAAATTTAGGCTGAAAAAGCTGAAATTTTAAGTTGTAGAGCCATCGAACAAAGGGTTTTGGCGCTGCTTTTGGTCAAAATGGGCTTGGCTGCCAATTCTCATATGGCCATGTCTCCATAACACGGGGCCAAATTTGTTAATCATAAGAAATTAAATTTTAACATTGTTTTTCATGTTGGGGTTATCTGAAGTATAATGACCTTTTGACCTTGAATTTGACCTTGTGGGTCACCGACCTTGAGATGAACTTGGATGAAAATTAAATCTCACCATTTTTTTCTACAAAATATCCAAAAATTGGGGGTATAATATTTTTGTTAGGTTTCTAGCTCATCTTAAAGTTGGCATACATGTTGCAAAATGTGATATCCCTATGCAGTGTACTAGTGGATTTAAAGTAGGGATTTTTTGTCCCTGCAGTGTACTAGTAGATTTAAATCAGGGATTTGTTTTGTCCCTTAAATGTGTTCATGTATAGGGATATCACATTTTGCAACACACAATGCCAACTTTGACATGAACTAGAAACCTAACAAAAAATATTATAACCCCAAATTTTGGATATTTTGTAAAAAACATGTGGGGCTATAATTTTCATCGAAGTTCGTCTCAAGGTCATGTGATCCACAAGGTCAAATTCAAGTTCAAAGTAAAGGTCAAAAGGTCATCATACTTCAAATTACTCTGACATGAAAAGTAATGGTAAATTTGGATTCCTTATGATGTTATCTTTTCAAAGCAACCAAGATTAACACAGTTGGCCAACAGGTTATGGAGATGTGGCCTTTTGAAAATTGGCGGCCACGCCCATTTTGACCAAAATTGCCAAACAATGGGGGGGGGGCAGTAGCACGAAAACCGCTTGTTCGATGGCGCCTAGCACTAAAACTTCAAATTTCAGCTTTTTCAGCCTAAAATACCCCACATACTAAATATGAGCAAATTTGAAGGAGTTGGGGTTTAACCCATTGGGTGATTTGACATGGAATGTCCCATATGTGATATCGCACAAAATTCTGCCCTTCTGGTTAACAAACTTGCTTGTTTGGCACAAGCATGAAACAGAACTGTTGCTGATAAACTTTGCAGTTAAAGTTGTCAGATGGTCATTATCTCATTATAACATCCTAATATTTGCCAAATCTATGTCTCTGTAAACCTTCCAACCCCCTCCAGTTTGACTTCTACTGTATTGAAATGAATTCCCTTACACATGTAATGACTTATCCTTAAGTTGCCATCGTCCAGTCAACCACTGAACTAAAACTTCTTTTGATTTCAAGAAACCATTTAAAAATGGTCAAATTAACCAATTTTACCTGAAAATCCCCTCTCCCTTTCTAACCCTAACCCTAACCCAATAACCTTTCCTTTTCTGCAGTGCCAAGTATGATACTGAGCTGGCCCAAGAGGAGCGTGCCAAGGGCCTATCCAACACCCAGATGGATGATCCTATACCCATCCTGGAAGATGACGATGGGCGTCCATTGACCAGAGAGAATGATTATGGCTTCATACCGCCTGCTGGTCAGGGGTAAGTAGCTGCCTGACACAGCTGACATGGCTGGCATAATGCCAGGTGTTTGCTATGATTAGGCCACTTTCCTTGGCTTCTGCCCAGTGCCCACGACCCTATCCAAGGCTGCAAAAGAGCCCTCATTGCACAGATTTTGTCTGCCAATGACTTTGGGTCAACTTTTTTAACTCTCTATTGGTCAAGTTTTGTTTACCTTCTAAAATGGGTCAAAACTCTCTATGTGCATGACACGTGCACATGGAATTTACTTGCATTGTAAGAAAGTGTCCTACCGACAATTTTTCAGATATGAATTTCCATCACAAGATTACAACATATGGATCAGCAGTCACCAGTGCCTTTATAAGGGCAATGGAGATTAGTGCTGTGCATACTCAAATAATTTAGAATTTGATTCTTGGTTCTTTAATTTGATCGACTAGCCAATATTTGACAGCTTTTAGAAATGCAAATTAAAGCTCATATTCTTCACGGACACTCTCAAATCATGCGCATAAAGTGGCTGTCCACAGAAATGTGGCCATTGACAAACAATATTAACACTCAACTTATGCGCATCGGTGGATGATAGGATATTCGGTCGATGATTGGATATTCGGTGGATGATTGGATATTCGGTGGATGATCGGATATTTGGTGGATGATGGGATATTCGGTGGATGGTCGGATATTCGGTCGACGATTGGATATTCGGTGGATGATAGGATATTCGGTGGATGGTCGGATATTCGGTGGATGATGGGATATTCAGTGGATGATGGGATATTCGGTGGATGATGGGATATTCGGTGGATGATGGGATATTCGGTGGATGATTGGATATTCGGTGGATGATCGGATATTCGGTGGATGATGGGATATTCGGTGGATGATCGGATATTCGGTGGATGATGGGATATTCGGTGGATGATGGGATATTCGGTGGATGATTGGATTTTCGATGGATGATCGGATATTCGGTGGATGATCGGATATTCGGTGGATGATGGGATATTCGGTCGATGATTGGATTTTCGATGGATGATCGGATATTCGGTGGATGATCGGATATTCGGTGGATTGGATATTCAGTGGATGATGGGATATTCAGTGGATGATGGGATATTTGGTGGATGATTGGATATTCGGTGGATGATCGGATATTCGGTGGATGATCGGATATTCGGTCGATGATTGGATTTTCGATGGATGATCGGATATTCGGTGGATGATCGGATATTCGGTGGATGATTGGATATTCGGTGGATGATTGGATATTCGGTGGATGATTGGATATTCGGTGGATGATAAGATATTCGGTATATTCAGCACAGCCCTAATTGGGGATGAGAGAAGCCACTTTCAAAACTTCAAAGGGGGCGTGGCCATTTTATGTAAATTAGACTGTTGGTGTAAATATTATTACCTTCAAACAAAACGGCAGCTTCCCATTTGATACCGATAGTCGGGGTGTCACTGTGTTGCAAATCTAATTAGCAACGCTTGATTAGAGTGTATTTTTACAACCATTGTGCGAGCGCGTACAACTGACTATAAACCTTTTCGTGGACCCTTATTGGTTCCCTATGAAAGCCAATGGAGAAAATAAAGAAAAATTTAAACAGCTACTATGGAATTCCCAAAATGTTAGTGGGAGCAGGTGCACCAGTCTAATCATGCCATTACCGGTAGATATGCACAATCACTAGCATCTTGGGCCAATACTAACCAAATGTTAGGTCCCCTGGGTATTTGGAGTTGGCAAAGAAGTTACCCTGGCTTTTCGCCTTGGGGAAAAAAAATTGGTCAACTTCCATTACTGTGAGAAGCAAATATCGACTAACAACTCTTAAACCATGTTATATTTGTATGCTATGCACCTTTACGATGCTGTGTTCCCTGTATTCTGATTGGTTGGCTCTCAAATAAATGTACACGTGTAATGCAGTGCCTATACTTTTGCATGTTGCTATTAAGAGAGTTGTCTCCGCATCAGAGGTCGTGAGGGCAACAATGCGCTTGCTATTATCAGACTCAAAATTTAGAGCTGAAGGTTCAACTTGATAATTTTTGCTCAACAAATTTCTGCCCAAATTTGTTCAACTTTCCCAAACTGCAACATCTTCAAAAGTTTCCTAGTTGGACAAATTTGGCCCCCTTACAATTTTGCTCCTTGACACAGGGACTTATAAAGTTAACTTAATCTTTTTTCCCCTCATCGGACAACTCTCTGTCATCCACAGGTCTACAGTGGCCGAGATCAACAGCTATGAGAATCCCTGGCCCCAAAGTACCGAGGATTTCTCAACGGATAAGCTACAGAAGACTCACTTGTGATCTGTCAATCAGCTGCGTGCTCTTGCCCTTGCTCCTCCCACCTCTCGCATCCTGTTAGCATGTCACTAATTAGAAAGTGGTGTTTACTTATAAATGTGTATAGAGAATAGTCCTTTGATTTTTATACAGAAAAGAATGTAGGCTGAAAGCTGGCGTGGTGTATTATAAAAACAAAATACAAAGTTTGTAATTTTTCTGTTTTTGTAGGGCAAAATCTTTGTACTAATGGTTATGTTATGATGCATATCAATACGTCTTCAATGATGGCTTCAGCTTTTTTGAGGAAAATCAAAAGATACAGTAGATTGCGAAACAGTTTCAAATTTGGATATATAAATAAATAACATCCATAAAATAAAAAATTAGAAAGTGCTTTTCAAATCCGAGCAAAAGTGCGTAAAGTTTTTCCAAAAAAAAAATATAATATAGTAATTAAAAAAATGTTGAAAGGAGGTGATAATTGCATTTCTTTTTTATTTTGGAGAGGGAGAGCCTTGTACAGTGGGTATTGGGTTGTAAACACGGGAGTTTGAGTGCTTGAGTGCAAATACTTCTTTGTCTGTTTTCAAAGTTGTCTGTTTTAAATTGTAAAATGTTTTCAAGTAATACATTTATGAAAAGTACTCAACCAATGAGTTTGAAAGTTTTTTTATTAATGTATTTACTTCAAAACATCTTTTGGATAATTTTCTTATATTCGGTTTTTTAGGTAAGCAGTTTTAACTTTACATTGCTTTTTTGTCTATGGATAAATATGACATTGTTATGAACGCCTTTGCCAATTTAAATTGGTTTGAAGTTATTTGTTTGATTTTTGAAGTTAGAAACTTTTAAAAGAAATTTGATCGTTTTTAAAGAAACTATGTCTTAAATTAGTGATAATTGTTTCTCATTTGTTTATTGTAAACAAAAATCATGTGGGAATTACTGAAAAGACACACCACATAATTTCACTACCATCATGATACGTCTTTCAACGAAAAAAAGTAGATTTTGATGAAATATGTTTTTCAGTGTACTTCATTTGTGTGAAAATATCTTAGCTATGCAAATCTGTTTTCTTATAATGATTGGTCTGAGGGTTGATCTTCTTAAAGGGTGTCTTTCGATTAATTCTAAATAAAAAAGCAATTATTGATGCGGTATTCAGGGTATTTTTGAAGTAGAAAATGACTCGCATTGCAAGGGCAGAACAATGAAAGAAATTGTGTCCATGCAGACTTTGAAGATTAACCTATTAATGCAATGCGTGTCATTAAAAATAGTACCAGTATGAAAGTAGTGCCTTCTACAGTAGATCTTTCAAGTACTGTGTAAAAGCAATATACTGATGCATAGATTATTTGTATTGTAAGGCTTATTACATATTTAGGAACTAATAATATGCATGGTACCCAGTTTTCATGCATATGTGAGTGGTTTGATGTATAAAGAAGAGTTACGTTTTAAAATCTGTGAGGGAAAGAAATTTTACATTTGTTTTATCTGTATGTTAGTGTAATGATAAGAAAGTAAATATTCAGATATGGAACTTTTTATACAATTCTGATTTGTCTAGATTCATGTACATGTAGGTAGCAAATGTTACAAATTGGACTGTAAAACAGATAATTTTTCGATGGCATATCAAGCAGAGGGAGCTTCAAGGTAAAAAACAAAATGGGGAGAAAATAGCAAAAAAAGCTCTTCAGGATATTCACCAACCTCCTAAATGACAGTTGGTGTGATCATTTCATGTCTAAGTTCAGATTTAGACTATTTTTTGGCAAAAAGGCTGTAAAGCAGGGCGTAGACTAAAAAGGCTGAATACATTTGTTTTCCGGAGACTAATAGATTTAATTCAAGCGGACGTTTCATGGCACTTGAAGGAAGGTACATGTACATACATACCCAGTAGTCAATTTTGCATTATATTTGTAATAAACTTGCAACGCATAATTGTTCAGTGCCTTTTTTTGTCTGTTCTTCCTAAATTAATTGTTACCTCATTTTTTATTCATTATTTTGTCATCCTTGCCTCCATAATTTCGATAGACAAGGTACTATGTTTTGTCCGGCATGATTGATCATATCTTTTCACCTTTCATTTGCCAATTTCTGGGATTTGTTGAAGTGCTGCCCTGCGGTTAAATTTAATACAGGGCGCCCCCAACAAGTGTTGCGAGGGGGCAAGGAGCATCGGGGGCCCTTGCACAGTTGCGTCGCCCACCTACCAACAGAACGCGTTTCGATTCCACACTCATTAACTGCATCTTTATATGAAATGTATTATCAATGAGATCAAAAGCCTTTAAAAAATCAGTCAAACAGCGCTGCCCGTATTGTTACATGCATCAGCCCCCCTATGCAAAAAGTACATCAGACTAACCAAATAGTGTGAAGTAGAGACTACTTTTACATTTCTATACTGGTCAATATAAATTTTTGTGTCGGACATCGTGAAGTACCCATTGAGCAACAAACCCTTCGCTACTTTTAGCACACCCATCCGTCAGGGACACTGGCCTCAACTTCTCAATATTTGCCGGATACCGTTTGGAAATGTGAGTTGAACACTAAGCGCGTAGGCATATTCTTTGATGAGTCTAGGCGGTATCCCATCAGGACCTGTAGCCAGATGAATTAACCTTTACTCAACATACAGTTCCCATGGTAACAGATGAGGGTCTGGCTTAGGTGCAGGCAAAAAAGCGGGCAGTTTTGAAATGTCCAATGGTGTAAGACCAGATGACACATTGCCAAATTGATCATTATAGTATTAGCAATGCCATGGCGATTACTTGCACATACCTCTGGGACATGTAGGCCTATGCTAAGTTCAGTAGAATTATTTTTAGTCATGATTTTAATCTGTTGGTGCCAGTTTTTAGTATCATTTTAATTTCTTGTTCTGCGGAAGAACACTACAATTCTGCATTCCTTTTGAACCGATAATCCTTTATTTCAATTTTCTATTAAAATGCAAACCATACGAGTAAAAAAATATTGTTTGAACCGTGATTAAGTCAGCAATCGGTCAAGTATTTTTAAGCTTATTAAATGTTTAACAATGCTCTGTTCAAGAGGCCAATCAGCAGCTTGTTTTAGCCCTTCTAAAACTACGGGCAACTACATTTTTTTCCAAAATATAACCACTTTGAAGTTTGAAATGTAGATATGTTCTTAATTTGAAGATATTGCAAGAATATCAAACGTTTGTAGCCTAAACAGGTTCACGTTCAATGCTGCTAATTGCCCTTTCGTCAAATTCATGACTCATCAGTTGAACTTGCGTTGAATTTATTAAATTGTTTTTCTTACACTGACGTTTTAATTACATTATGTTTTGTGTTGTTTTGGTTGTCTGCAATATCCTGCTTTCATTTTAAAACTCTCATAACATGGAAGACTTATCTGAGAAAAGTGCAGGTAAAGTGTGAAAGGTTTCATGATACCACTCCCTGCTCTGCTGACACTGCACCATTTTGTCATCTAGTCCTTCTGGTTGCCTGCAAAAGCAGAAGACCTCAACTAAACCGCTGTTGTCCGCTTGATGCCTCCACTTGCAGCTCGATTAACCTAGGAACAATGAAGCAGGCTGCAAAGTGAGTTCGTATGCTGCGTTGGTCCCAGTGCACAAAGCATGGGCATTAGCAACGGCCAAAAGGCCACAGTCAGTTCCACCAACCTACTATTCCACCTTAGAACTTGTCAAAGAACTTGTCTTCTGTAAAAAGCAAGGCAGTAATGGTTCTCTTCAGGGCAGCAGGCAAGGAACTCCTAAGCTATCATAAACCCTAGCTTTGTGACCAAGTGCAAATCACTGAACTTCTTTCATGAATCACTTACATTCGCATTTTGAAACAATGGACCACCACATAACCTCCGGCACTACCTGCATGAAGGGTCACTGCACTCTGAAAGGCCTGAAGGGCTGGGAACTGATTAGACAGGCAAGATTGGGGAAAATCAATGTGTTTATCACTTGAAAAAAAGATCCAGTTATGATGCCCTCTGTGCTGGCACCCTATGGGGGCCTTCTTGATACTCTTCGCTGGCTGTGGATATCAGGGGCTGGTCTATTATAATGAGAAACACACAAAAACTAAACTTAACATTTAACTTCAAGTCTTCAAGATATTACAAGAGCCAATTCCATGATAGCAAATAAGAATACTCCTTTCCTATGGACGAAAGATGACCCTCTTACCGATCTTGACAACTTCAAAATCATCACTGACACCTGGAAAACAATACATCATTGGGTTACCTGTATTGTAGAATACCGAACATCAGCTAAAGAACCTCCAGTATGACCTACGTACAGGACACGACAAGAAAGACAGAAAGAGACAAGTATAAGGCTAGTGAAATTGGCATGTACTTTAATTTTAACATTCAACCCAAGTGGGCACCAGAAAAAAAAAAGAAATTGTACATGCACAGAGGAATATCAGAACTGACATCTTATCTGACACCTCCACGAGCACCCTCTGTCCTCAGTCCTGAAGAAAATCCCCCTGAAATACTCACAGCTTCTAAACGGGCTCGAGACACAAATTAAATTAATGCTATTTTCTGTTGAATTTTCAATGACTTTTCGAAGATAATTTTTCTTTCAATGATGATCACACCTAAAAATACTCCTGAAACCCATCGCCATTTTGAAAAACGATGCCTACGCTCCATTGCAAAATAGTGCACTTTTAGGGCCGAATTTCATCGAAAATGATACAGAAATAAACGCTCATATAGTCATGTGCAAAGCTTCAACACTTCTTTTTTACAAAACCGTAAGTTCATGGCCCACAAAATGGTCTAAAGTCGGCGAATTTAAGGGCATGCAAATCGTAATTTGGCCGGCGTAAGCAATTTGGGCCTATTTACTGGCCTATAGCGATTGGACAAATTTTACCAACTTCACGTATTATGCATGATAATGATGAAAAGTCACGAGGTGATGGCTCTCCTTGCACCTAAACGCGTATTATGAAACTCATGCATGTGTTAAAATCGCCAGCGTTACGCTATCAGTGGCCAGCTATAGAGTAGCAATAGTCCAGTGGCTTAAGGAAAACATCGTGACACGGCGGATTAAAGCCAAATTTGGTACACTTACTGTATAGGTCCCAAGAAGTCATTCTAGAGGGGGGTGCCCGGTTTTGGCAGCCTGGGTCAAGGTCAGGCCAAGGTCAAAGGTCAAATGGTGTATTATATGGTATATAATTTGTAGTAAATTTCGACAAAGTCTGAAATTTTAAATTCCGAATAGCATAAAGGATGTCTGGCAATTATAAGACCTAACATTTCAGAAAAAGTTCTATCAAAAATACTTTTCCCCAAAAAATAGGGGAGTTTATTCCATTTCACAAAATGTTGAGTCAGCACTTTTTAGAAAGTTTGCTTTCTATTATGTAAATTTAGAGAAAAGGAAACTTTGATCGTTTTCGCATCACTACTTCGGCACATGGATACTATAGCAAGCATAAATTACGCTCTTCCAGAGGTGGCAGCAAGTCATTTTTTGCAAGTCCAAGTCAAGTCACAAGTCATTAGGTCCTGTCACAAGTCATGTCACAAGTCATTAGGTCCAGTCACAAGTCAAGTCACAAGTCATTTGGTCTAAAAACAAGTCAAGTCACAAGTATCTTTGTCCAAGAACACGTCAAGTTGCACATTATTTTGTCCAGCTGTAATAAGCTTAAAGAACCTGGCGTCAACTTACGAGTTATTTTGAACATGCCTCCTTAATTCCCCTTTTTCAATGCGTTGCAATTACTATTCTTGTAGTTTATCACATATCTGTCGGATATTAGCCCTTTGTATACTTTAATAAATTTACTTTACATTGTAGAAATAAATGTTGAGATGACATGAAAAAAGACTTCACTCACTCGATTACATGTAGTATACTAACACTTTATTGTTCGATTTTCATGTATACTAAACGCCTACCAATGGGTTAGACTATCCGGTATTTTACATGCAATTGACAAAGGCCTGCTTTCTTTTCATGAAAGGTTCCTTTCAACGTTTGTCCAAACATTACATTAAGCAAGAGACTTGGTCATTGAAAACTGTAGTTTGTTGTGACAGTCTTATTGAAAACTTTTGAAACTAGTGGGAACTATTCATTTACTGGATTCAGTCACTGAGGTCTATTTTCTGGAATGAAACTTTCTCGCTGCATCTATAAACTGCATTTATAAACACTTTGAGTGGCCTTTTGGGGCCTTGTGTTGGGCGACTTCAATTAAAAAAAAATCTATTTGTTCATGTACAAACTGTTACACTTCAAATAAACAAGATTTGATAGCATAGTATCACTCAACTTTGCTCTGTGTGGCCTCATAATTATTCCTCCATGACTGAATACACGTGCGAAACTCACCACCCGTGGAACAACACCGCTAGAAGCCGCCATACTTGCTTGTCAATTATGACATATTGCAGTCACTTTTTATTTCACTCACGCGCGCGTACGCAACGTAACAGCTCAGCTCACTGATATGATCTACAGCTGCAGCTGGGCGAAGTAGAAACCGTGCAAGGCGTAAACCGAATGAGCTAATTAAAAGTATAATAGCTTAATTAAAGTGTATTGGGTCGCTCGAGTAGCGTCTGACTTGGGTTGGTAACAAGTCATTTTTTTGCAATCCCAAGTCAAGTCACAAGTCATTGTTTGCAAGTCCAAGTCAAGTCACAAGTCAAAGCTGGTATTTACAAGTCAAGTCACAAGTCACAAAAATAGCGACTCGAGTCCGACTCGAGTCAAAGTCACATGACTCGAGTCAGCAACTCTGCGCTCTTCCTTTGATTTATTTATTAATTATACGTGGTTTATTAATTATCTTTATTACAATGTTAGTTTGATTTCAATTATGATTTAAAGCTGATTATGTCTGCATATGTATGTATTGTATTTACATATCACGGTTTAACTCACATTAGGCACGAAAGT